TTAGAGCTGCTCTCTCTCTTCTTAAAAAACCAAAACATTTAATGTGTTCATGTGGGGAATGCTGGAGTGGAAGTGACTCACAGGAAATAATTGCTGGAACCAGGAAATGTCAGTGGATTTCCTATTTTTCAAGACTGATTTTCATCAAAATTCTTCAGTAAGTTTTTCTGAAATGAAATCGTGTTCTGGTGATTAATTTAAGACACAAGTGGCTAATGCTTTTTTGTTGTTGTTGTTTTCATTATAGAAAATCAAACCCCAATCCATAAAACCCTGCCATGAACCTTTGTTTTCTGTTTTGATTTTGAGCACTTTCCTGCTTGCTGCCTTAAACATTTTGAACTTTTATGGGTTTGGAAAGCTGTTCCAACCCCAATTTTTTAATTCTGTGGCCAGAGCTTCATAAAAGCAGCTCAGATATAGGTTCAAAGGGCATTTATAGAGCAAATAATTTGAATTTCTCACTGTTGCACACACATGGAGGAGCTGGGGAAGGTGTAAATAACCCATGGCCAATCCCAGCAACAACCTGGGCATGATGTAAACCTCTTTTTGTGATTCCTCTCCTCACTTCTCTCTGTTGCCTGCTGGATTCAGAGCATTTTTTTATCACTGATGTCCTGAGGAGCTTTTCCTCTCTTCTAGACTCAACAACAAACAGCACCACCCCAACCAACTGCAAACTCCTGCTTGGATGGTCCTGGCTTCAAAAGCTGCTGATTTTGGTCTTGGGGTTACCTTGTTTCTAGATTTCTTGTTACTTGGGTTGGTTTCTAGATTTCCTGTTTCTTGGATTTATATTGTTTCTAAATTTCTTCTTTATTGGATTCATCTTGTTACCACATTTTTTGCTTCTTGTATTTATCTTGTTTCTAGATTTTTTTGTTGCTTGGATTTGTCTTGTTTCTGAATTTCTTGGGTTTACCTTGTTTCTAATTTTCTTGTTTCTTGGATTTGTTTCTAAATCTCTTGTTTCTTGGATTCATCTTGTTACCAGATTTCTTGTTTCTTGGATTTATCTTGTTTTTAGACTTCTTGTTTCTTGGACTCATCTCGCTACCAGATTTTTTGTTTCTTGTATTAATATTGTTTCTAGATTTCTTGTTGCTTGGATTTATCTTGCTTCTAAATGTCTTGTTTCTTGGGTTTACCTTGTTTCTAGATTTATTGTTTCTTGGATTTATTTCTAAATTTCTTGTTTCTTGGATTCATCTTGTTACCAGATTTTTTGTTTCTTGGGTTTATCTTGTTTCTAGATTTCTTATTTCTTGGGTTGGTTTCTAGATTTCTTGTTTCTTGGGTTTATCTTGTTTCTAGACTTCTTGTTTCTTGGCTTCATCTCGTTACCAGATATTTTGTTTCTTGGATCAATATTGTTTCTAGATTTATTGTTTCCTGGATTATCTTTTTTCTAGATTTCTTGTTTCCTGGATTATCTTGTTTCTAGAGCTTGGGTGAGCCACTGGTGGTGCCCTGCAGGGCTGGGCACAGCTGCTCCCAGCATTAACCCCTGGGAAGGCAGGAGGGTGCAAATGTGTGATCCTGACCCACAGTGGCTGTTCTCCCTGGCAGGGTGCATTTCTTCAAGGAAAAAGTTGGTTTTAAGGTTTTATCACACAGCTTGGTGGTGGCATGGACGAGTGCTCACATTTCAGCCATTCCTGATACCACTGCAGGAAACCACTGAAACCATTCCTGAAACCATTCCTGAAACCATTCCTGAAACCACCGAAACCATTCCTGAAACCATTCCTGAAACCACTGAAACCATTCCTGAAACCACTGAAACCATTCCTGAAACCATTCCAGAAACCACTGAAACCATTCCTGAAACCATTCCAGAAACCATTCCTGGAACCACTGCAGGTGCTGCCCCAGACTGGGATTCTCTGGTTTTGTGCATCCTGCTGGCTCTGCTGGGGCTGATTTGATTTAAATATTTTGCTTTTCTAATCTGAAATACATTAAATTTTGGCCTTTGACTTTCTAATCTGAAATACATTAAATTTTGCCTTTCTAATCTGAAATACATTAAATTTTGGCCACTTTTGAGGTGGATGCTCATTGGTATTTTTTTCTTTTGTGCCATATCTGTGAAATGCAGGGAAAGTCTGAATTTGTATTGAGGTAGGTTAAAAGATTTTCATTCCATGTAAAAATGTCACTTTGTGGGATTTAAAACACCCAAAACACCAGGACAAACAGATTTCCTAAATGGTTTGTGAGATGACCATCATCAGTGTTTATAAAAAAAAATAATAAGTGGTTATTAAAATAATAATAAAATATATAAAAAATGTGCTCTTCCAGATGCAGTATCATATCCAAATTTCTCACAGGTTTAATACTTAAATATTTCCTAAAAATTCATTGTTTTAGTAAAACAAAAAACCCAAATGAACAGATTTCTCCCCTAATTTCTGGGAGAAGGATGCCAGCCAGGGAGGAAGACGATCAATTAAGACATTAAGCATTTTGCACCACATGGACACATCTGCATGGCAGCCAAATAATGCAGCCATCAGCTCATTTTCAGGGGGCTGTTGCCTACTTCAACTCAGCCCTCAGATCAAAGAGAAAATGTCTGCTTGCATTTTCTCATCAGAAAAGGGATGCTAATTTAGGTTCCTTAATGTGTGGTGATAAGAGACTTCTTCAATTAAATGAATTCTATAGGGCAGAAAAGCAAAAAAAAAAAGGGGGATACAAAGGGAGTCAGGCTGGAAAGGCAGAAGTTCTCATTAAATCAAAGGTCCAATATTCATTACCTCCAGCATCTGGGGCTAAACACTGAACATGGAGCTCATCAAAGGGGCTTTAATGGGTTAAATTGAGAATATAATCTAATTAAAATATTAGATACGAGTAAATAGCTCTTTGATATTCATCTGAAGGTTTCATTAAAACAGGCACTTGAGGTTTGGATTAAGGGGGGATTATCACTTTTGAGCAGGAACAACAAGTTGAGGTGCCCTGAGCAGAAATGCTTCAGAGTGTTACAGTTTGGTTTAAAAAAATAAAAGTAGGAAAGAAGAACATGGAAGCATTTCCCAGCCTGGCAGTGCCCAAAGGAGAGGGAAAAGAGGTTGAGGAAGAGGAAGGTTCTGTTCAGAAGCTGGAATTGGATGCTGTAAGTGACAAAAATGTCATGGAAAACATTCCTCCTGCAGCCTGACCCGAGTTCCTGTGTTGGACAATGCTTCTTCCACCAGGGCTTCCCAAAATATTCTTAATATTTCTCAATATCCCCCAAAGTGTCCTGAACTTCCAGCTGTGAGTCCAAGGGCTGATTCACAGAGGAGGGGAGTTCCTGCTCCTCAGGAGGGTTTGAAGCAAGGCCAGGTCCCTTCTCCATGAGGAAGGGCAGAATTGGGATTGCTTTGCTCAAAATTAAATCGGGAGCCTCCTATAAAACAGAGACCAAATAAATGGGATAAAGCAACTCCACATCGTCACAGGGTGGTTGGGTTTGTCTCAGTATTCCCCAAAAATGCTCATCAGGAGGGTTTAAAGCAAGGCCAGGTCCCTTCTCCACGAGGAAGGGCAGAATTGGAATCACTTTTCCTCATATTAAATTGGGAGCTCCCATTAAAAAGAGACCAAATAAATGGGATAAAGCAAGTCCACACCATCACAGGCTGGTTGTCTGAATATTCCCTATAATGTCCTGAACTTCCAGCTGTGAATCCAAGGGGCTGATTCAACAGGTGCCTGCCCCTCAGGAGGGTTTGAAGCAAGGCCATGAGGAAGGGCAAAATTGGAATCACTTTTCCTCATAATAAATTGGGAGCTCCTGTTAAAAAGAGACCAAATAAATGGGATAAAGCAATTCCACATCATCACAGGGTGGTTGTCTAAATATTCCCTAAAATGTCCTGAACTTCCAGCTGTGAATCCAAGGGCATGTTTCAACAATGGAGGGGAGGTTCCTGCCTTTCAGGAGGGTTTAAAGCAAGGCCAGGTCCCTTCTCCACGAGGAAGGGCAGAATTGGAATCACTTTTCCCCATATTAAATTGGGAGCCCCCATAAAACAAACACCCAATAAATGGGATAAAACAATTCCACATCATCACAGGGTGGTTGGGTTTTTATTCCTTTATCCAGCCTGTTTTCCAGCAGGTTTTGGCCCAAATTCCCTCGCTGTGTGCTCTAATCACATTTCATATGGTGACTTAATTCATAATTTGCTGAGTTAAAGAAATGGAAGCACCCTAAGAAACCCATCTGTTTGTTGTTATTTTTACAGCCTTAATCTGTTAAAAGCTGTTTCCTCTCAAACATGCAGCTCTCAATTATCCTCAGTTACCCAATATATTCTCCAACTGCTCCTGGCTAATCCCAGATTGTCTGCATGCTCAGCCAGGACTGGTTTGGAATTTTCTTGTCCCAAATGAAGCTTCAAAATTTTGTTTTTATTGTGGAAATTCTTCACTAAGAGACAACAGAGTAACAATTAAATAATTAGCATTGTGTCATTACCAACTGCTGTGTTTGGAGCATATTTTTGCTCTTTTTTTTAGTAGCAATGGATTATTTTTGCTTTTATTTCGGGCCAAAAGTCTCTTCTGCATTTAAGAAAGAGAAATATTGCTGGTGTTAAGACCATCAGATGAAACAGAAGTTTATTTTTAATGTTTTGTAGATATGTCTGTCTGTTTATATGTTTAAAAATGATCCAGCTGTGACAAGCCAAGAGCTGACTGGTCTGAAAGATGCAACTGTCAGATCATTTCTTTCAAACAAAAAGAACAGAGGATTAAATTTCTAATAAAATATTTTCTAACAAAAGAACAGAGCACTGTATTTAAAATGTTATAAATGCAAATGGTCCATTTATTAAACAACATAGGTACAAGTAGAACAATTAGAACAAATTCTAACATTTAAAAATAATTAAACTTAAGCCAGTTTAAATTTCAGCGGACTGGGAAATGAAGATGTGACGTGAAAATGAAACAACTCAGGCATTTTTGCCTTGATCCCTGAGATTCCCAAATACCTATAAGATGTGAAGGGCTTCAAAAGCAGCCACAGCTTCCCTCTCCTTCTCATGCCTGCTCCACAAAGACTCCAGGGATGGGATTTTGGGTAAGCTGGTTCCAGCTGGAGCCCGGGGCAGAACCTCCTTCAGCTCCTGCTCTGATCGCCTCGCTATGAAAGTCTTCGGTCTTGGAATCTTCTTGGCATATTCCAGAGCCTAAAAGCAGGAAAACTGGGGGAACTGAGCAAGAGAAAACCTGGACAAGATTTCAAAAAAATATTTAGGTGGGTTGAGTAAGGTCTCTCTGAATTCCTGATCTGAAATCCTGATTGACAGAATTCAATCCCAGATTCTTCAGTGGTGACTGCAACACAACCCAGCCCAAGATTTGCTTCCTGGCACCACTGGAAGCCACCTTAGACACTGAGGAAGTGCTTTTATTTGAAAAAAAATAAAGAGCAACACGAATCTATTACATTTATAAACTTTTTTCCCAGTCTCATTAAGCTCTTGCCCTCAGGCAGAAGTTTTGCAGGTTAACAGGACAAGCTCAGGTTGTGCATAACATACTAAACTATCCAAATTAAAAAGCAAAATGATGTCTGGAACATGGAACTGGAGAGGGAATGGGAAGAGTTTGACAGAAATGCTGGAGCTGGCAGAGCCCTGGTTTAACCTGGGATGGGTTTTGGTGCCTGTGTGTTGCAGGGATTTGGGAACACCTCACGTCTCCAGCGGAAGCTGCATTACCTCATCTTCCTGGTGAAGACCCCTAAAAGAATCCAACCCCTTTCTGCCACCCAAACAATAAAGTTTTGTCTCTTAGTGGTTTATTTTCGGGAATAAACGCAAGGAACTGAGGAATTCTGATATGACTGAGCTCACAGCTTTGTCCTGGAGCCTGCAGTCCTCCCTTGCACCCCTCAGGAACACCCTGGGCAGGGACTCAGCTCTTACCTTCTGCCTGGACACTGAAGACACCTGGGGCTTTGCAGGCAGCCTCTGAACCACAGTAATATTCCTCATGTTATACTCCTTAATTTGCCTGGAATATTCCTTCTGCAGCTTTAGCTTTTCTTTCTGAGAAAAGCAGAGAAGGAGCCTGGAATTCAGTGGCTGGGGGGATCCATCAATGAAAGCCTTTTCCCACCAATATTCCATTTCCACCTCTGCTGCTCTTCAACCTGGCTCTGCCATTGATCCCTCCTCAGCACACAACAGGAAGCCCTGATAAATGGCACAGCTTTTTTAGTTGCTTTTCCCTTTTAAGAGCTTTTGCCTGGACTGAATAGAGGATGGAGCTCAGCAGAAATGTGACAGGTCCATCTTTATTCTGTCCTGAACAATCTGCCTCTATTTCAGAGTGCAGACAGATATTTTCTCGTGTTTACACAACTTTTGCTTCCACTTGGAACATTTGGTGGATCTTTACAAGTGTGTCATTTCCTGATGTGCAATTAGCCCTGATTAATTCCTATTTCTGGATTTTAAAAATTAGAGGGTTAAAATTATCCCCAGGACAGCTGTCTTTGCTTTTATTTGAATTTTCCTGTAGCATCTCCAGCTAGCCAAGGATATAAAGTCCCAGATAATCATAAATTATGATTTCTCTGCCACTCTCCCCTGCCTAAATCCACTTTTGCTTTACTCACTTTCTCTTTGATTGTTTCATAGTCAGGTCCAAGGCCTCCAAGCTTCATGTTCAGATTGAAGTAGAATTTGGAGCTACCCAGCTGAAAACCAAACAGCAAACAGATTTTCCTTGATATGATTTCACAGAGAGAATAATTCAAGGAAGACTTGTAGTGGAAACCTCGGGATTTCATTTGCAATCTCAGTTCCACCCCTGGCACGTCTCATTTTAAATAAGTGACCAACAGGACTGAGTTAATGGCAAAAGTCAAATGACACAGAATTTCCTTTGGATCCAGGTGGGAAATTGCCAATTATCCCAATCACAAAGTGATATTTTCTCAGTCAAAAATGACCTTTTGTGAGCTTTATTGTGAAACAGCCTAAAGCCACTCATTTGACTGTGATTAGAATGAGACTCCAAAGAATTTTTTTGTAAGAGAAGTAGATAAAATTACCTGACTTTGGTGGCAAAAACCAGGCAAATGATGTTAGTGAGAATAACCTTTCCTTGTTCTCAAAGCTGCACTGGAAAATTGTCCAGAGGCAGCTGAAAAATCCATGTTTTGCTGCACAGCAAAGGCTTTACAAGTGCACAGGGAAGGCAGGAGTGGTGGGTGGTGCCACCCAATACTGCAGGACATCACACAAAGACTCCAATGCCTCCATAATATTTTTATTCTCTTTCAAAACCACATTTTTAGAAGGGAATTATGTTTTAAAAACTTGTCAGTGAAGCTCATTATGATCATCTGTGTGGTAATTTCAACCGCGGAGTAAGGCAGGAGCACCAATTTCTATATGAAAATAAAATGGACATTTCTTCAAAACACAGGTTCAAGTTAAACTCAACGGCAGAGAAATTAATTCTATGCACTAAATTTCCTATTTGAGGTTTCTTTGTGTCAGCTATCCCTGTTCTTACATGCTATAACTCACTAATTTTTAATCTGAGGTACAGTGAGGAGTTAATTTCGCTGACTCCCACAAAACCAGGGGTTCCTCATTGCTGCAATGAGCATGAGTGCATTTGTTTATTAGGAAAAGCTGGATTTTGCTGGGAGCACAACCAGTCTGATTCTCTGTGCATTCCTCACATGTGAAGCGTGAGAAAACTGCTGCGAGCACGGGACAAGAAACAATGGCCTGAACAGAGAGGGAAGGAGATCTGCCCTTCAGTCACCACCATAATCCCAAATCTTCTTAGAGGCACTCAGGCAGCAACACCCAAACTGCATGAAATCATTATTCCAGCTTAGTTTGTCTGCCCTGAGACCTGGAGCAAACTTCTCAAACATTTAATTTGTCATGGGCAGCCTTCTGCTGTGCCCTGCAGCTGTGCTAAGTGACACCAGGAGAAGTGGGCAAGCGGAGGAGGCAGAAATGCAAGTTTTAATAAGGACCATCAGGAGGTTTGGGATGATGTTTATGCTGTTAGCTTTGCAAATCCTCCAGATTTGGGGTTGGAATCTCTTGGAAAGCAGGAGATTTGAGCTGGACAAGAAAGGAGCGTGAGCAGGATAATGGATGGCTGAGATCTGAGGCTGCCTGCTGCTCCTCACAAACAGCCTGACCCGAAATGATTTTATCTGTGGATAAACGACAGGACAAACACTGCTCTGTGTGTCTAAACCAGACTGATCCACGTGGATCCCTTTGCTCTGAAATAATTTCAGTGTGTGTTTCTACCTTTGTTCCATGATTTTTAATGCTTTGCTGTGTGTCCATGTGCTTTTCCAACATTTCTCAGTCCCTATTTATAGGGTTTTAAAAAAAAAAAGACCTTTGGATTATTAAGAAGAAACGTTAGAGGGGGAATAGAAATGTTAAACCACCCAACCCACATCTATTTCCTCACCTTCTTGCTGGCTTTGGGCTGGTTTTGCTTTTCCCTTTGCAGGAGAGACCCTTCTGAGCTGCTTCGTCTCATTTTCCTTGGATTTCCTTCAGCTCTTCCCGAATCCCCCTGTGAGCCCCTCTGCCCCTGGGGCAGGGCAGGAGGGAACAGACCCCACAGCCACGTGCCAGCAAAATCATCCTCAAAATCAGAAATTCTTGGCCGATGCTGCTCCTTCGTTTCTGTCAGATGGGAGATTCTGCAAGCAGCTGTTGGTGAGCTGTGAAGAAAACATGGAAAAGGCCTTAAAAAATGAGGGGAAACCAGTAAAAATCTGAATTTACACACAGCAGACAACCTGAACATGGAATAAGGGAGCAGGGAGATGGGAAGGTGAGGATTTCACAATAAATGACTTTGCCTGCATCCAAGGATATGGAAAATAAATAGAAAAAAACCCACAAATGGGGAAATTTCAGCCTGATTCAAAGGTGATTAAAGCCAATGAAAGGCTTTGGATCAGGCATGCTGAGTACTGATAGAATTGTTTGTTTATGTGAAATAAAACCTTCATTTAAAAAAAATCAAGACAGGTGAAATTCTACATAATTGAGGATTTTCCTGCTCTCCCCTTTAGGGACAGAACTGACCCTGGATATCCACCCTGCAAAGCCAATTTTGCTACAAACTCTTAATTAATGCACAATGCCATTCCCTATCTATATTTGAAACTTTCCCACCCAGCCTCCTAGAAGGAAACTTTCAGTTGTGGAAATTTCCATACCTGGAGGACAGAGCTGTCCTTTTCCAATGCCACATTTAAAAATCAAAATCTATAACGAATCTTCAATGAGTAGAAAAATATAATGTCAGATTTGTAGAAAAAATAACTTTATACTTTTGACTTAAAAGCATTTTCTTGCCCATCTGTTTATTTTCTGGACATCACAGGGTTATGATAATATTATTTTATCACTTAAATCCTCACCACAAACTGATCTGATACCTGTTATCCTCATGAATATGATTTTTAAAATCTGGAAGCAGCGCTTGATCCTTCACCCTTTCTTGAAAAATTGCATTAAAATCAGATGAAATATTCTCCAGTTCTGGGTGTGCCTGGCCACTGCTGCTGTTATTCCTGGAAAAATGCTGCCCAGGGATGGCATTGGCTGGGAATTCATGTGGAATTCCAGCTGGAGAGTCATGCTGGTATTTCTTGTCCTCCTTACTGGGATATTCAGGATTTAAAACCTCTGGTGGGTAAAAATTCTGGAATATTGGGAGAAAATGATAGGAAGGCATGGTAAGGGTTGAATTTGGGAGATGATTTAAGCCACTTTGGGGTTTTCCTGCTGGGCCAAGAGAAGAACTTGGACTCAGGGCTGAGCTGGGATCCTCCGCAGGGGGAGCAGCCTGGAATCCCGGGATTTGCTGGTGCCTCTGGATGCAGGGCTCTGCTTCTGCTGCTCCTGGGGGTTCTTGGCCATCACCCCTGGGGAAAGCTCTTCCACTGAGAGGCTGCTTGGATCCTGCTTTACTTCTCGGCAGGAACCTGTGCTGCTCCTGAAACGAGTCACCAGCAGCTGGGTGAATTTCCCAGTGGGTATTTGAGATATTCACGTAGAAGTTCCATCACTCACATCAAAATCCCTCTGTGCTGCTTGGATCTGCTCATGGCTGGATTTCACCCAAAATTCAAATATTAAAGGAACCCTCAAATATTCAATATTAATATTCAAATATTAAAGGAGCAGAGATGTTATTGAGGTGCTGCACAATGAATTATTCTGCCTGAGATAAATTCTGCAGCACTGGAGTGTAAAATCAGATCCTTGCAGATGCAAACCTGGTGTGGTAAATGTGGATTTTATCTGCAGGAGGTGCAAAAATGGTGCCTTAAAGTGCACAGATCTAACCTTGTGGATAAGTGACACCTCTCTGTCAAACACATGAAAAAAAGCTCCAAAAATCAAATCACTTCTTGCTTTTTATGTGTCAAATTTTGGGGGAAAATGGCTTTGTACACACTGTTAGACTGGCCCGTGGTAGAACAGCCTGATGCCAATTATATAAATGACTTTATATGAATTATAAAAATAATTACAAATTGTAAAATATATAAACAATCTTATATAAATTATAAAAATAATTATAAATTACATAAACAATCTTATATAAATTATAAAATTATTATAAATTATAAAATATTATATTATAAAAACTATAAAATAACCATAAATTATAAATTATTAAAATCTTATATAGACTATAAACTAATTATAAACTATCAATTATAAAAATAATAATAAGCTATAAATTATAAAAATAATCTTATTTCTAACCCAAGCACTCCTCCCTGCAAAACTCAAGAATTCAAGCACACCAGGGCTCCCATTTAGAGCCAAACTGCCACACTCTAAATCTGAAATTCATTTCCATCTCTCACTTTCCAATTACAGCATCAGGCGTTGCCCACTTGGAGGAAAAACTCGAATTTCCTTCCAGGGAATCCACAGATCCATTCTCAACCCATTAAACCCTGCAAGGGCTGAAATCCTCCTGTCTCTCCGGGGCTCTTCTGTGAGCAGCCCCTGCAGCAAATTCACTCAAAAATCAGATTAATGGAGGTGGGAAATGCACCCAGGTCCAGGAGGTTTGGGAAATTCTGACTCCTGGAGTTCCATGTCCTGGCACAAAGTGGGATTGTCTGGTTTGGACTGCTCCCAGTTTGGCTGCTGCCAAAATTATTGTCTGTTTAGGGGATGATTTGGTCGATAATCGGAAATTATAAATTAGTACACGGTTGTGTTTGATGGTTTGGGAGGATTGTGAATTTATCTAGGAGATTATTCGGTTGATAATCTAAAATTAAGGATTAGTACATGGTTGTGTTTGATGGGTTGGGAGGATTCTGAAAATATATTTAGGAGATTATTTGGTTGATAATCTCAAATTATAAATTAGTACAAGGCTCTGTTTGATGGTTTGGGAGGATTGTGAGAGAGAACTTATTTAGGAGATAATTTGGTTGATAACTTAAACTTATAAATCAGTCCAGGGTTGTGTTTGATGGTTTGGGAGGATTGTGAGAGAGAACTTATTTAGGAGATAATTTGGTTGATAACTTAAACTTATAAATCAGTCCAGGGTTGTGTTTGATGGTTTGGGAGGATTGTGAGAGAGAATTTATTTAGGAGATAATTTGGTTGATAACTTAAACTTATAAAATTTGCAGAATCCTCCCAAACCATCAAACACAACCCTGGACTGATTTATAAGTTTAAGTTATCAACCAAATCATCTTCTAAATAAGTTCTATGTCAGAATGCTCCCAAACTATTGAACAGAACCCTGCACTAATTTATGATTTAAGATTATCAACCAAATTATCTCCTAAATAAGTTCTCTCTCACAATCCTCCCAAACCATCAAACACATCCATATACTAATTCATAATTTTAGATTATTGACCAGATACTATCCTAAATAAATTCTGGCTCAGAATTTCCCAAACCATCAAACACAACCATGCACTAGTTTGTAATTTTAGATCAGCAAATTCACTCAAAAATCAGATTAATGGAGGTGGGAAATGCACCCAGGTCCAGGAGGTTTGGGAAATTCTGACTCCTGGAGTTCCATGTCCTGGCACAAAGTGGGATTGTCTGGTTTGGACTGCTCCCAGTTTGGCTGCTGCCAAAATTATTGTCTGTTTAGGGGATGATTTGGTCGATAATCGGAAATTATAAATTAGTACACGGTTGTGTTTGATGGTTTGGGAGGATTGTGAATTTATCTAGGAGATTATTCGGTTGATAATCTAAAATTAAGGATTAGTACATGGTTGTGTTTGATGGGTTGGGAGGATTCTGAAAATATATTTAGGAGATTATTTGGTTGATAATCTCAAATTATAAATTAGTACAAGGCTCTGTTTGATGGTTTGGGAGGATTGTGAGAACTTTTTTAGGAGGTTTGGTTGATAATCTAAAATTAAGGATTAGTACATGGTTGTGTTTGATGGGTTGGGAGTATTGTGAGCCAGAATTTATTTAGGATAGTATCTGGTCAATAATCTAAAATTATGAATTAGTATATGGATGTGTTTGATGGTTTGGGAGGATTGTGAGAGAGAATTTATTTAGGAGATAATTTGGTTGATAACTTAAACTTATAAAACAGTCCAGGGTTGTGTTTGATGGTTTGGGAAGATTCTGCAAATTTATTTAGGAGATTATTTGGTTCATTTTCTAGTTTTTGGCAATTAATTCACTCCCCCTTAATTTTAGGGGACAAATCAGGAAGAAATGGTGAAGTTCTGGCTCAGAATTTCCCAAACCATCAAACACAACCATGCACTAGTTTGTAATTTTAGATTATCAAATAATCTCCTAAATAGACAATAACAGATTCTGTGAGCTCAGAATTTCCTGGCATTTTGCTTTAAATTTATTTAGTACATAAAGCACACATACATTAAATTGCAGCGCTTATCTATTGATAGATATTTAAGGATTTCTTGTCAGTAATAATTCCTTTAAAAGCCACAAGATGACAGCTTTAAACATCCAAATTCAGTGCTTTTATAGATATATTTCAACTGAAAAATTCTAAATGTATAAATTCTAAATTTATAAAATTTCAAATTCTAAAATGATAAATTCAATTATTAAATTCTCTCAAAAAGGAACCTTGAGCTGCTGTCCTTTTGGGTACCATTTGTCTTCAGGCTTCATTTTCCCAGTCTGGAATGCTGGGACACTCTGGAGTGGTTCTTCATCAACTGGTGGAGGATCTGTGACCTAAAAACCAGGAATGTTCATGGTCACAGCAATCAGGATCTTAAAATCTTGGGGAAATAAGGAGAAATAATTCGTGGCCTATTAAAATTAAAATGCTGAATTTTGAAACGGTGGAATGACGAAATTTTGAAATGGTGAATTGCTGGAAGGATGGCAAGGAGAGAAATGGTTAAAGGAGAAAAAGAAGCAAAAAACCCAATTAAAGGGAGGGATGATTCCTTCTACTTTTAAGAGGAATAAAAGAAAGGAAAATTGTGCAGCACAGAAAGTCTCAAATGTCTGAGCACCTCCATTTCCATGGAGGAAATGCACCTAATAACAGAAAAGCAGCCAGAAACCATCCCTGGCCAGGCAATCACACATCCCAGCCTCAGCGAGAGAGGCTCGCAGGAAAAGCTGGAAAAACACAATAATGGGGCTGAAAAGCACAGGGGGAGCTGCAGGAATAAAGTCTGGAATACACAGAGCCTGGCAAAACAAGCTCACAAAAAAGGATAGCTCCACAGAACCACGGCTGCAAATTTATTTGGAGCAAGTTTTTTGAGTTTGTGCAGTTATCTCTGCACAAAGATGAGTGATGCCCTTGTAAATATAGCAATAATTAATCTTTTTCTTGAAATGAACATGTTTTTAATCTATAAAACTGCAGGAAAACCAATTTTTAACATTTTTTTAATTTCTATATTTTTGTCCCAAACTATCCTGCTGAGTATTTTAGTGGAAGTGTGTTGGGCAGTGTCACTGTGACAGGAAGCTCTGCTCCACCCCAGAGTGGTCCCACAGGAGAAGTGGCACTGGGAAGATATTTATGAGAGATTTATTCAAGAGAATTATTAACTGGAAATCATCAGTGGGAAGCTGAACCTCTCACTTTGGGGGTAAGAGATTAGAGCAGAAAGAAAAGGTGGGAAGGGTTTATTGCTGAACTTATGGGTGATCTCATGGCTCCAAATTCAGAGTAAATCCCTGGGAAAAATTCGCAAGAAAATTAAAAAATACCACGGAGGTTTTCCTGAGCTGTGGACAGACACAGCTTTGCAGTGAATAAGATGTTTTTGGTGGAACCAACCGACTCAGTGCATTGATGGAGTGCTGGGCAGGTAAAACATACTTCTACATTATCTCTTTGAAAGAGGAACAGGACACAACCTCTGCCAGCATTTTTTTCTTTTTTCCTTTTTTTTTTTTTTTTTTTTTTTTTTTTTAACCTTTTTTTTTTTTTTTTTTTTTTTTTTTTTTTTTTTTTTTGTGAACCATTCTATTAATACCAATCAAATTGAGAAAATGATCAAATGAAATTGCATTTTGAGAATCATAAGCTGTGTAATGCCTATTCTGTTAAATTGAGGCCCATAATTGCTTCTCCACTGAAAAGATACAACAAAGGCAGCAATCATGGCATGTCATTATCCCAGACTGGCAAACCAGCCTTTGCAGGGAGGACTTCAAAGCCTTGTGGTTCTCGAATTGCATTTGGCTGCTATTGTTGAAGCACAGGCAATCTTGATTAGGTGTTTACACCGAGGGAAGGCTCAGTGCACAGAGAGTCTGAGTGCCTTGCTCTAGAGCCATTAAAAAATTGTACATTATGTTCCTGGCTTTGAAGTAAGGGGCTTGGAGGTAGGAAAGCAACTCGGATTGAGCACAGCTGAGCTAGATTGGGCCACTGCTTCTCCTTCTGCCTCGCTCTCTCTCTCTCAAAGAAACTCATCATGGGGTTCTTTAGGAATCAGGCAACACTGCAAAGAACTTGATGCTGTAGAAAATGCTATATGAATTGGTAAATGCACAGACCAGCGCGGGTTTATGGTGTGTTTTGGTAAAGCTGTCGTCTGTAAATGTAAATCCTGCAGAACGAGGCTGGAAGTATTTCAACTCAGTTGTGCACAAAGTCCTGCCCTCAAAGCAAACACCATTTCATTACCACAACCCCAGCAGTGGGCAGATCAATAAATTCAGCTTCAACCCCCTGCAAAGCTCAGAATAATCAGTTTAGGGAAGCACAGCTTGATTGGTAACACGTGGCTCATTTGTTTCTTCACATACTTGGTGGTTTTGCACTTTTGGACAGAGTTTTCCGGGTGGGGTGACCAAAGCTGGCTCCTGCACCACCACGATGCTCCCCTCAGGACCTTTTTCACCCCTTCCAACTAGACTGAGCCATCTGGTTAGGAATCAGTAAATGAACTGTCAATTAACAGTAAATTAATCAGTAACTTCTGCCTGTCCTGCAGCAGATCCAGGGGTGGCTGCCAGCAGTGGTGATGCCACTCATGGAATGACAGAATTATGGAATGCCTGGGTGGAAGGGACCTTAAAGCCCACCTTGTCCCACCCCTGCCATGGCAGGGACACCTTCCACCAGCCCAGGTTGCTCTAAGCCCTGTCCTGGAACACTTCCAGGGATGGGAAGTCCACAACCTCCCTGTAACTCGTCGAGGTCAGGAACACACTTTCCTGGACCCCTCTGCCTGCTGTGTCACCTCTCTGCTGTCCCCAAGGCCACTTCAGCCACATGATCTTATCTCATAGCCCTGATTTTGACTGATTCCTTTGCCTATTCCATATTTTTAAACAATGTCTGCACAATGAAGTCCTGACCCCTGCTCCAGCACTTAGACAGGAAATATTTCCAGAATTCCCTGAATAGCAAACATAATCATATCAACATAGCTCTAATTAGCATCCATCCACACTCATTATTTTTACCATCATCCAAATTAGAACTGAAAAAAACAAGTGCTCTTAATAGCTCTACTAGAAAAAAAAAAATCCTGTCCATCACTCCTGCCACTGGAATGAAGTCAGAAAATTCCCTCTAATGTTGTGTCAACTCTTCATTAGCCTTGGCAGAGGTGTCACTTGAAGCACAACATCCCTGGAGCTTTCCAAGGTAAGAATTTTCTGTGTGGAGTGATTCAGTGACACCCTCCCTTCCCATTATGCATAATAAGTAGCAAGGAAAAGCAATGAACTCCTTTCTAATGGTTCATTAGGAACTGTAATTACATTTCCTCTTGAACCTTGCCACAAGTTAGCTGAGACCGTGCACCAGTCAGAACTTCCAGACACAAGTGCTGATGTCCAGCATCAAATCTGGGATCCTGACAGGCTTGGGCCATCAGCCCATGGAAACCTCGTGGAGCTGAGGCCAAGCACAGTCCAGGGGAACCCCCGGAGCTGCTGCAGGGCTGGAGCCCCTCTGGAGCCAGGCTGGCAGAGCTGGGGGTGCTCACCTGGAGAGGAGAAGGCTCCAGGGAGAGCTCAGAGCCCCTCAGGGCCTGAAGGGGCTCCAGGAGAGCTGGAGAGGGACTGGGGACAAGGGATGGAGGGACAGGACACGGAATGTGCCAGAGGGCAGGGGTGGATGGGATATTGGGAATTAGGAATTGTTCCTGTGAGGATGGGAGGCTCTCACTCAGGGTGCCCAGAGCAGCTGTGGCTGCCCCTGGATCCCTGGCAGTGCCCAAGGCCAGGCTGGATGGACATTGGAGCAGGCTGGGACAGTGGGAGGTGTCCCTGCCATGGCAGGGGTGACACTGGGTGGGCTTTGAGGTTCTTTCTAACCAACTTTGCATTTGCTCCACTGAGAAAAATCTGGAATAAGGCATAGCAGAGAGAATCACTACAAACTCATGCTGATAATGCTAACATTAACATGGTAACATTATCAAACTCATGCTGGCCAAGCAGAAAAAGGACAAGGGATGGAGGGACAGGACACGGAATGTGCCAGAGGGCAGGGGTGGATGGGATATTGGGAATTAGGAATTGTTCCTGTGAGGATGGGAGGCTCTCACTCAGGGTGCCCAGAGCAGCTGTGGCTGCCCCTGGATCCCTGGCAGTGCCCAAGGCCAGGCTGGACACTGGGGCTGGGAGCAGCCTGGGACAGTGGAAGGTGTCCCTGTCCATGGCAGGGGTGGATGGGATATTGGGAATTAGGAATTGTTCCTGTGAGGATGGGAGGCTCTCACTCAGGGTGCCCAGAGCAGCTGTGGCTGCCCCTGGATCCCTGGCAGTGCTCAAGGCCAGGCTGGATGGACATTGGAGCAGCCTGGGACAGTGGGAGGTGTCCCTGCCATGGCAGGGGTGACACTGGGTGGGCTTTGAGGTTCTTTCTAACCAACTTTGCATTTGCTCCACTGAGAAAAATCTGGAATAAGGCATAGCAGAGAGAATCACTACAAACTCATGTTGATAATGCTAACATTAACATGGTAACATTATCAAACTCATGCTGGCCAAGCAGAAAAAATGAGAGGCAGCATAAAAAGAGCCATGAAAAGGGGCAGTGCAGGTGCCAGGAAAGAAGACAGAATTTCCTTAGCATCAAGATAAAAAGCAGTGTGAGATCTGTGACACTTCCCTGGCCAGGAACAGGCAGCTGGAACGTGGCCACCCCTGGGCTTGGGAGCAGCTGGAGATTTGTCCATTATCCCACAAAGGGTGAACAAGATTCCCCCTGGAAATCTAAAGCTGTCACTCACTTGCACGATGGATTTCAAATCTGCTTCTCCCCTCTGCAAAGCTGAGAGTTCAACACCAGGCAGACCTAATCTGTAGAAATGAGGGAATTTATAAATGTACCCACCTGCCCTTGAAGAACTTGCTGCTTTTTATTGTGCAGCTCAAGATAGGAATTAATCCTCGCTGACTGTAACCCCAAAGTCCGTTTATTTTTTCTCACAAAGTTTTTTTTTGCTCTTTGGGGTGGATCCTGTTGATTCTGAGGAGGAAAAGCATGGCCAGGATTATCTTTGGAATGAAATCCATCTGCAGGTTCCTCCCTTTTGGCTTGTGGCCCAACAGGTTTGTCGCTGGCCACGTTTGCTCCATAAAAGCTGAGTAATTCTGGACCAAACTCTGGGAGTGCATCCTGGGTCTTTGCCTCCTGTTCATGATTTTCTGAGGAGCCATCAGAATGGAGATAAAATGAATCCAGTGAAAAGTCCCCACTGCTTCCTCCAAAAATTTGGGATGCCTTCTCTGCCTCAAAAAAATCTGCTCCCTTTTTTGCATTCTTCCAATGAGGATTATACCTCAGGCTGGAATATTTGTCCACAGGCAGTTTTTTCCTAATTAAAAAAAAACAAACACTGAATTATTTCTGCATCAATTGTACAAATTCTGTATTATTTCAGTGTAGAAACAGATGTCCTGCTGTGGCCAAATGAATTATTTCAGTGCATTCAGTAGGGGACCAGGATCAGAAGAGTTTTATCAAAGATTTTTTTGGTAGGAAATTTAGGCAGGACTTCCTTTTTAATTTTTATCATTAGTGAATGATAAATTGGTCTAACACTCAGAGCATAGTGGGATACAATCATTATCCTAAATTTGGCATAGAAATTTTTAAATCCTAGTAGAAACAGCTAAAAGGTGAAATAGTAGAATCAGCTAAAAGGTGAAATGATAAATTGCATTGCTCTGTTGTCTCCTTAAAAGTGATATAGTCTGCAAAAGACAATTTGTGTTGTTCCTTCTTCAAAGGCTCTGTTGAGTGAAATAAAAGTGAAATTCCTGGTAAAATCAGTTTTCAAGTGTCCTTTTGAAACTGTCCAAACAAGAACAGCCTCCAGCTCTGTGTTCTTATTTTCTCTCTTCATTCCTGTGAAACATCGTGATGCTTTGAGTAAAAAACTCCTTCTAGAAAAGATTAAAAATCAGTTTTTATTAAAAAACAGGTGGTGATTAGATAAGACTAGAAAAACATAAATGAAAAATCTGTGTTTGATAATTTTTTAACAAGTGGCCAAATTATTGCTCTGAGTTACATTTGTCATAAAGCAAAGCCAGATGCTCTGCCTTAAAAAATCCCCAATTTCTGATCCAATTTCTGATCCAGTGGGAGGAAAAGCAACTGCAGGAGTCAAATCCATCCAAGCAGGCTTCCAGGAGATGTGCAGGCAGAGGCAGGAGGAAGGGATGGGAGAGGAAAAAGCTTTAACACAATTTTTTCTTCCCTGGACCTGCAGTACAGCCCTGGTTTGTGGGTGACTCTGCCAGAGGACATTTACAGGCACTGAAATCTGGTTAATTCTTCAGCTCCTGTTAAAGAAATCTGCTGGATTCCCCAACCTGCGGCCTTGTTAATGATACTAAAAAAAAATAAATCATTTATCCATCCTTTCTCAATGAGCTACATGCCTCTGCCTATATTTCAAGTGGCTCCTAATAACAAAATAATGTGTTTGTCTTTGCTTTCCAGGTGAGCAAGGGTGCCACGGTCTCCTGGAGCTGATTTCCACCAGGGAAAACATCATTATTCCCAGCTGGCAGAGGCTGCAGGTAAACAGCACGAGGTGAGGCTGCTCTGAAGTGAGTACAGAAATATGTGAGCTAATTGCAATGATTGAAATGGCAGAGGATAATGCTAAAGAGTCCCTTTGTGCTGAAATGTGTGCACAGAACCCAATTGTGGGACTCAGCCCAGGTCACTGCACGGGGACAAAATGAGTGTGAAGAGCTCCTTCATCCCTAATCATCCCCAGACAAAAAAGGGCACCTTTTATTCCTGCCCCCAGCTCCGTGGGGAGGTTGGATGGACTCGGTGCTCCTCAACAAAAGTGTGGTGAGCAGACAACAGCTGCAGCATTTCCTCTTCAAATTCCGAGGTTGGTAATGGATGTAGAGAGGGGGTTTCATATGTATGTGCTGTGATATTTGCTCTGCTTAATGGACTGCACTGGAGTACTTACTGGGCTGAGTTCAAACAAAATAAAATCAAATTTCCATTTAATGAAGAGCCTCACATTCAGCACAGTATTCAGTCCAAAAAAATTACTAAAAATTAGAGCATGTTTCTAGTACAATTAACATCATTTGCACTCACAATAAAATATTCAATAACTGGCCATTTTGCTTGTTGAGGAGGTGAATAAAAGCATGCTATTAATCATTTAGCCTTCATTTGTTTGTCATTTTATTTTAAGTAGACTATTAAATTGAAACTGCACGTTGTTATTACTTGGGGTTTAATGTAATCCCTTTAAACTCGAGAATTATTCCCAATTTATCCAGGGTTAAACCTTCCATGCATATGCCAGGATATTCAATTTTATTTTATGTACCCAGTTAACGCTTTCTGAAGGATGTTTAAACGTGGCCTTGAGGAACATCAGGTTAAAAGTGTCAGAATTATTCTGCTCCACTAAAGTTTTTGCCTTACCTTCCAGTGCCATAAATCTGTGGTTTTCTTTTCTTTTTTGAGTCGTACTCAGCTCCTTTCTCTTCAGAACTCAAATCCTCCAAGCTGTCCTCATCCAAGCTGTCATCCTCCAGGGTGTCACCAGCCTCCTGCCCTAGCAGCTCCCGATTTTGCAGGATGCTCTGCTGGAGTGCCAGCTGCTGCTGCCTCTCCTTTTCCAGGCTCTCCGAGTCAGAATCCTGGGAACCCTCCAGGCTGGAGGCAGAGCTCCTTTCCAATTCCCAGCTGGCAGGTTGGAAAACGGGTGGCACGAGGATTTTTGGAGGGACGTGGATGTTGTTTGTGGCGTAAGTGTGTGGGGAAGAGACTGAAATGTATTTCATGTTTGAAGGATTCATCCCCTGTTTTGCACTGATGGGTCACACCAGCCCTGCATTTGGAGAACACATAAAACATTTTAATCATATTGAACAGCTGCATTTTGTTTGGAGAACACAGAAAACATTTTAATAATATTGAAAAGCTGCTACCATTGGCTTAGGCTCAGAATTTGACCTTCTCTTGTTCAAAGATTTCTCTATTCTCATGTGATTTTCCTTTATTCCCACTCATTCTCCTTTCAGCAATAATGTCAAGATCTTTACCTATCAAATACAGGATTTACTGCTATGAAATCTCCACTATTGGTGGTAATAAATAATGCAAAACCAGTTTGCGACAAAGAAAATGAAGCTGAGACAAAGCATCTGTTATCTGTTAACTTTGAGGGACAAAATAAATTTTGTTTGTTCTCTTCATGCAACTTTAGACCCTCTGGCCATGTAAAATCAGCAGAAGGTGTGGCAGGGAGCACAGGAGAGCTGGAGCTCTGCCTAAATTAGGATGAGAGTTTCTTTACACTCAGCTGAAGTGATCAGAAGTCGTTTGCACTGCCAGATATTCCCAAGGCGGGGTGGGAGGAGGAAAAGGAGCGTTCAGTTCTGAGATGTTCTGGGATGTTCAGTGCTGGGATGTTCTGAGATGTTCTGAGATGTTCTGAGATGTTCAGTGCTGGGATGTTCTGAGATGTTCTGGGATGTTCAGGGCTGGGATGTTTTGGGATGTTCAGTGCTCAGATGTGCTCCAGTGCCAGCACACCCAGCACCAGCACGGTCAGAGTGCACAGGCAGTGTCACCTCAGCACCTGGGGATAAAGAATTTTGGATGTTTTAGCCCTGCAGACACCTGGACTGTCCCCTGTGTCCCCTGCTCCCATCAGTGACCATGGCAGCCTTGGGATGGGCAGGGAATGGGGAATCTCCTGGTCTGGAGCAGGAGCTCAGTCCCAGAGGAAAGCCACTGTGTCCCCAAGGCCTCCCCTGTCCCCAGCTCCCTGTCCCTGCCTCCTCTCAGCCCCAGTCCCCTCTCCTGTGTCCTTTTTTCCATGTCCCTCACCCCGTCCTATGTCCCCTGCCCCAGTGTCCTCACCCACGCCCAATCCCACGTTCCCTCACCCTGTCCCCTGTCCCCACACCCTGTCCCTGATCTCCTGTCCTGGTCCCCTGTCCCCATCTCCTCTCTCATGGCCCCTGTCCCCTTTCCCTCACCCCCTGTCCCCGTCCCTGTCCCCTGTCCCTGTTCTCTCTCCCGTGTCCTCGTCCCAGTCCCCTTCATCCCGCTCTCCTGTCCCTGGTCCCCTCTTCCATGTCCCTTACCTGGTCTGCTGTCCCTGATCCTGCCTCCCTGTCCCCTCACCACCGTCCCCTCTCCCAGTCTGCCATCCCCTGGTGCCCTGCCCCGTGTCCCTGTCCCGTGTCCTTGTCCTTCGTCTCCTGTCCCTGTCCCTCTCACCCTCTCTGCTCCCATGTCTCTCTCTCCTATTCCATGTCCCTGTCCCGTGCCCCTGTCCCTGTCACCGTCTCCCATGTCCCGTGTCCCTGTCCCTCTCACTGCCGTTCCCGTGTCCCTGTCCCGTGTCCCTGTCCCCGCCATTCCCTGTCTCGTGTCCCTGTCCCTGTCCTGTGTCCCTGTCCCTCTCACCGCCGTTCCTGCGTTCTTGTCCCGTGTCCCTGTCCCCGCCGTTCCCTGTCCCGTGTCCCTGTCCCGTGTTCCTGTCCCTGTCCCCGCCGTTCCCGTGTCCCGTGTCCCTGTCCCGTATCCCTGTCCCTCTCACCGCCGTTCCCGTGTCCCTGTCCCGTGTCCCTGTCCCTGTCCCCGCCGTTCCCGGCCCGGGCCCATTCCGGGCCGTGCCGCGCTGTCCCGTTGCCACGGCAACCCCGAGGACGCCGGCCGCACCCACCAGGCGCGGGGGGAGTGCGGTTCCCCCCCTGCCGCGGGCGCTGTGGTAGCGCCCGGGAGCAGCCGCTTTCCTCTGAAAAATGGAATTATTTCCATTGGAAAACAGAATTATTTCCATTGGAAAATGGAATTGTTTCCACTGAAATATGGAATTATTTCCACTGGAAAATGGAATTATTTCCACTGAAATATGGAGTTATTTCCACTGAAAAATGGAATTATTTCCACTGAAAAATGGAATAATTTCCATTGAAATATGGAATTGTTTCCATTCAAATATGACATTATTTCCATTGGAAAATGGAATACACAGGGCCTTTTATCTCATTGGGTATTCAAACCCCAGTTTCCATAATTTTTTCGTAATTCCAGTGAGAAATAATAGTCTCGAGTGAGTTTTATTTCATGAGATTTACAGTGTCCCGTTCTGGGCTTCTCAGTGCAGGAAAGAACGGGAAGAACTGGAGGGGAAGAACTTCCTTCCCACGGAGGTGGCAGAGCAGCCCAGGGAGGTTTTGGTTCTCCCTGCTGGAGCCACCCCAGCCCCACCTGGATGTGTCCCCTGTCCCTGCTCCAGGTGACCCTGCCTGGCCAGGGGGGTTGGGCTGGGGACCCTCCAGAGCTCCCTTCCCACCCCAAATGCTCCGGGACTCTGTGAGAAAAACGCATTTTTGACATTCTGCAAATGAGAAAACTCGTTGTAATTCACATTTCCTTTATTTTAGGGATTTGCTTTTACCCTCCTGGGGCAGGAAGGGCTCCTGTAAAGCCCTGGAGGAGTCCCAGCTCTCCTGCTGCCCTCACCCCAGCATTTGGGCAGCCCATGGGGAATATCCCCTTCACAGGACCATCAAATCATCAAATAATTTGGGTTGGATTGCTGTTGTTTTTTATTTATTTTTAACCCTTTAGCCATCAGGCCGCTTCCCAGCTTGGTTAAATCCAGCTGCAAACCCAGGTTTGGGGTTCCAGGGAGAAAAGAAAAGTCACAGTTGTTTTGTAGCACCTGTGGTGGCAGAGGAGGTGACAAAATCGATCCGAAATATCTTAATTTGGGCCTGGGTGTCCAGCCAGGGCGCTGATTGCTGCTGGGGGTGCTGAGCTGTTCAAGGCAGAGGTTCCTGATGTGCTTTGAAGGTTCCAGGTGGCTCAGGGCAGGTTTCCAGAAGCACCTGAGGGATTGAGCTGTTCAAGGCAGAGGTTCCTGATGTGCTTTGAAGGTTCCAGGTGGCTCAGGGCAGGTTTCCAGGAGCACCTGAGGGATTGATCTGTTGGTGGCACAGGTTCCTGATGCGCTCTGAAGGTCCCAGGTGGCTCAGGGCAGGTTTCCAGGAGGACATGGAGTGCTGAGCTGTTTGAGGAACAGGTTCCTGAGATGCTCTGCAGGTCCCAGGTGGCTCAGGGCAGGTTTCCAGGAGGACATGGGGTGCTGAGCTGTTGGTGGCACAGGTTCCTGATGTGCTTTGAAGGTTCCAGGTGGCTCAGGGTAGGTTTCCAGGAGGACATGGAGTGCTGAGCTGTTGTAGGCAGATGTTCCTGATGTGCTTTGAAGGTTCCAGGTGGCTCAGGGTAGGTTTCCAGGAGGACATGGGGTGCTGAGCTGCTGGTGGCAGATGTTCCTGATGTGCTTTGAAGGTTCCAGGTGGCTCAGGGCAGGTTTCCAGGAGGACATGGGGTGCTGAGCTGTTGGTGGCAGAGGTTCCTGAGATGCTCTGCAGGTTCCAGGTGGCTCAGGGCAGGTTTCCAGGAGCACCTGAGGGATTGAGCTGTTCATGGCACGGGTTCCTGCCATGCTCTGCAGGTTTCCAGGAGCACCAGCCCCAGGTCCCCGCCCTGCTGGGTGACAAAACCACCCGCAGGTGGCTTTGGGATGGAGCTCCCTGTCCCTCCTGCTCCTTCAAATCAAGAGCCCTGAAAACTTTCACACAAACACCAGGAATTTGCAGTTTCCTGCACCTTCCCCGCCCTTACACATCTGTCGCCCTGCCACAGGTGAACATTTCCCCATTTATTTCTGTGGTTTGGGCACCTGGGCTCTTCGCTGGGATTTTGGGATTTTTCTCTGGGGTTTCCAAATTCTTCTCTGGGGTTTCCACGTGTCCTTCTGTTACATATTGCAGGTTGGATTTGGGATTTCCAGCTAAAATACAACAATTATTTATAATATATAATAGATAATGTAAAATATATAACATATAACACATAACATACAATATATAATATATAAGATATAATATAAATAATATATAATGATAGATAACATATATAATAATATATTATATGTAATATATGTTATATGTTATATGTTATATGTTATATGTTATATATTATATGTTATATATTATATATTATTAATGGCTGCCACCTGCTCTGGCCACAGTCATCAGCAATTAAATAAAACAAGAATGATTTATTAATAATTATAATTAAAGAAACAATAATTAGTTATTATAATAAAATATTATAATATTAATTGAATATTATAATTATTAGAACACTTATAAGATTATTATTATAATTATTTATTATAATTAAATAAAAATAATCAATTATTATCTAAAACAGGAACATATTTACAGGAATATGTTAATTAAAGCTTCTTACCTTGTCCATTCTTCTCATGGCCTGGACTGTCTTCATTAGATCTGGATTTATAACTCTCCAGTGTCTGCTGTGAAACATCATTTTCTGTGGAAAAGCCCACAAAAATAATTTAAATAATTAAATAATTAAAATTTAATAACATAAAATAAAAATAAAATGAAATAATTAAAACTATAAATTAATTTAAAATTAAGTAAATAATGATATAAATTAATTAAAACTCCCCAAAAATTAGTGGCGAGAATGAGATTTTTTCCCCCATTATTCCTTCTCACCCTCTGCCTTGATCATAGAAGTCCTGAGAGAAGAGTCACAAAATGGGATTTATCACCCGAGTGAGATGACCATCATCTCACAAAAATCCTGAGTTATAAAATGGGGATCTCATCAGCCTGACAGAGATCACCATCAGAAAAATTGTGAGAGAGGAGTCACAAATTTGGGATCTCTCAGCCTGACAAGAGATCACCATCATCTCATAACAGCATCACCTCACAAAAATCCTGAGTGAGGAGTCACAAAATGGGGATCTCATCAGCCTGACAGAGATCACCATCATCTCACAAGAATCTTGAGAAAAGAGTTAGAAAACAGGGATTTCCCAGCTTGAGAGAGATCACCATCACCTCACAGAAATCCTGGGAGAAGAGTCACAAACTGGGGATCTCATCAGCCTGAGAGAGATCACCATCACAAAAATCCTGAGAGAAGAATCACAAAATGGGATTTATCACCCGAGTAAGATCACCATCATCTCACAAAACTCTTGAGAGAGGAGCCACAAACTGGGGATTTCTCAGCCTGACAGAGATCACCATCATCTCACAAAAATCCTGAGAGTTATAAAATGGGGATCTCATCAGCCTGACAGAGATCACCGTCAGAAAAATTTTGAGAGAGGAGTCACAAATTGGGGGTCTCTCAGCCTGACAAGAGATCACCATCATCTCATACAGCATCACCTCACAAAAATTATATATTTTATATCTATATAGACAGAGAAGAGATATATAATATAATATATAATAAGAATAATATATAATAGTTGATGATATACATAAGCATTAACTTTGCTTTGCAATGCTGAAATGATGGTGTGTGCTGTGTGTACCAAAACTTTGCATTAAGAAGAGATTTCCCTTTCCTTTTCACACCCAGTAAAAGCCACAGAATTCCAGAGTGGTTTGGCTTGGAGGGGACCTGAAAGCTCCTCTGGTTCCATTCCCCATACAAGATCGAGGCTCCCTTTCCATGGATGCTGTCCTGACACGTGTCAGGATTAATCAAAGCAGGCTTTACCAGGATATATTCATTTTGTGATGTTTGCGATCATTGATACATCACTTTTAAACCAATAAAAACAAAGAGTTTGGGCATTTCCAGAGCACCAATTATTTGTCACTGCAGGTCCTGTCATGCTAAGCAGGTGCAGAACTCTTGGTGGGGTTTTGGGTGATTTATTTGGGCTGTGGAGATTTTGATTGGGCTGGAAAAAATCTCCTGATTTCGGGAAGTACAGGCTGGTGCAAGCACGGATAAAGAGGAATGACTGAGGAGCTGGGGGTGCTCATGGCTGTGGGGAGCTTGCTGCTCAGCTCTGCACCGAGGAACAGCTCCAAACCCTTATTTTTTGCCCCAGGTTCCTCACTTTAAAGCAGACCCCACACTTCTGTGTGCATCTGCATCATTTTCACCAGCTCAGGGCTGGAGAGGCAGAGCTGGAGGAGCTGCAGTACCCGAGCTGGGGAGGTCCTGGAAGGGGAAAGATGCCAGCAGCCTCCGTGCCCCCAGCGCAGGGTGCTGGATGATGCAGCTGGCTGTCCCTCTGGGGCTGTAGCTGAGGATCCTCAGCGTGCTCCTTGTGCTCCATTTCTTCCCATCAGCTCCCAGCTGGTGCCTGGTGTCACCTGCACGCCCGTTGGGAGGAAAAAAATAAAAATAAAATAAATAAAAGCATCTCTATCACCCTGAAATCCTGCTCTCCTACAGCACAGGTTGACTCTTCCCCTTTTCCAGCTGTGGGAATTTACACCCGAGGATTCCTTGCCTTACCAAAAGGAATTAGGGGAGTCTGATGGGATTCCCAGTGTTACTGATTACTCCAGGTAATGCTGATGATATGGAAAAAAAAAGGTGTGTTTGATGTGACAGAGAAGTCTTTGAACAGCCCTAGTGGAGGGGAAGGTGTTTCAGATCTTTACCTGAAGGACACAAATATTTCTGTATTTCCAAATAGAAATTTCCTAGAAAATGATTTATAGAATATAATTTCTATATTTAGAAATATTTGTTTATAGTGCAGAAGCTCTGATGCTCCCCTTGCTCTGTCACCCTCAAATGAAAGAAATTCCCCATTTCCAAATGAACCCTTTCCAGATCAGCATTTCTCAGCCCTCTTTTCCATCCCCAGCAGGGCCAGGTAAGAGCTCCAAAAGGATTTCAGAAATCATCTTTGTCAGCAGCAGCTCAGTAATTACAGCTGCTTTGCCCCTGCTGAGCCCTGGTGTTGTCAGTAATTAAGATTTATTAGCTGTTTTCTGATTAGTGTAAATATTTGCAGGAAGTGATTAAAGCTGGGAATGAAAGGGGAAGGAAGAAAAGTTACTCCAAGCTTGCAAAAAATGGAGAAAACCAGAGAAATTGGAGAAATAGTGGAGTAGGGCAATGATTTCTTATCTTTCAAACAATTCACTTTTTGTCTCCCACCTTTTCATGTAAGTGTGGCTGTTCTGAAGGGCAGCCCCAGACAAAGCAAGGCAGCAGACACAGCTCGGGCCCCGTGGGGCTGTGCTGGGCTGGGAGGTGCCAGCTCAGGGGTTCCCTCTGCTCCAAAGGCGAGGAGGAGGTCAAGGCAAGCAGCGGTTTTTGTTAAAATATTGGAGAAATGCAGTGCTGGCTTGCGGGAGGTGTTTAGTGTCTGAACTGTGTGTTGTGATGTCACTAATAATTCAGTTTATCAGGGTGCTTTCAGGCTTGGGAAACCCCCTGGTTTTAGAAAAACACTGTGAGAGACAGAGATAAAAAATCAGGGGGGCATGCTGAGGTTTTTATGACTTCCCAGGCCCTCACACACAGCCCAGCTCTTCCCAAACACAGGCAGGATTTAAAAACCTGCTTTTCTACCACGCACTGCTCTAGGTGTTCACCTTTTCTGCATTAAAACCCCCCAGGTTTTATCAGCCAGCCTGATTTATTCTTATTATTAACTCTAATTTCCATCTATATTCAGGCCAGGACACACAATTCTCTGCTGTTTTCTAGAGCTCTAATTTAAAAATAAACCATCTTGGGCCAGGGGAGGTTACAGGTTCAGCTTTAAATACGTTGCTTGATGATGCAAAACACAAGTAAGAGCTTGTTGATGTGTGAAGGAAAAGCCATTTGCATCCCTGAGTGTTTTTCTCACATTTTGATACAGGTGTGCACTGGAGCTGGTAAGGCAGTGATTTGTAGAATAATGTTATTTATAGCACTGCTAGAATGGCAGTTATTTGTGCAGCAGACAGGCTGAAGGAGAAAAAAGGCTGCTGGGGCTTTGAAAATCGTGGCTTCGGGATTTTGGGAGTTGTTTTGTCTCAAATAAAGGGAAATAAGTGGAATTATCTCCAATAAGTGGGATTCAGTGCTGAGGTTCCAGGATTTTGGGTTCATTTTATTCCAGTGGAATTCAATGCTGAAATTCCAAGGATTTTGGTTCATTTTATTCCAGTGGAATTCAGTGCTGAGATTCCAAGATTCTGGGTTCATTTTATCCTTGTGGAATTTAGTGTTGAAATTCCAGGGGGTTGGGTTTATTTTATCCCAGTGGAATTTTGTGCTGAGGTTCCAGGATTTTGGCTTTATTGCACTGGAATTCAGTGCTGAGATTCCAAGATTCTGGGTTCATTTTATCCCAGTGGAATTTTGTGCTGAGGTTCCAGGGGTTTGGATTTATTTTATTCCACTGGAATTCAGTGCTGAAATTCCAAGATTCTGCGTTCATTTTATCCCTGTGGAATTCAGTATTGAAATTCCAGGATTTGGGGGTTTATTTTATCCCAGTGAAATTTAGAGCTGAGGTTCCAGGGGTTTGGGTTTATTTTATCCCAGTGAAATTTCATGCTGAAATTCCAGCGTTTTGTTTCATTTTATCCCAGTGGAATTCAGCGCTGAGGTTCCAGGATTTTGGCTTTATTTAATCCCACTGGAATTTCGTGCTGACTGTTCCCCAGACCTGCCCCGAGCTGTAGGCAGGAGCGGCAGACCCAGCTGATATTTCACCCTCCAGCATCTTTAAACCACCCAAAACTGACAAAAAAACAATTTTAGTGCCCGAAGAGTCTTTGAGCTCTTACCTGGGAGCTCGATCCCGTTGTCCAACAGCCAGGAAATCTGGGGCTGGGGTCTGCCCCCCTGGGTGTAGCAGGAGAGTTTGATGCCTCTTCCTTTATCCTGGGAGACTTCCAGCACGGGGTGGGATGGAGCAGCTGCAGCAGGGAGATTTAGGATCAGTTTAGGGGCATTTTCTACTCCTTTTCATCAGAATTATTTCTCCTTTTCCTTGTCATCAGCGTTATTGGAGGGTGTGGCAGCAGGCCCCCAGCTGGGGAATAATTAGCATTGACTGCATGATCCAGAAGGCATAGAAGACACTTTATCATTAGAAATCTACAGTTCTTATAGAAACAATGGTGGACCTGAGACCTGACTGGTCTCAAAGTGAAAACTTCTCCCACACTTTTGCTGGTTATCCATAACACACTCTAGAGAACCATATCTATAAACAATGGTCACAGAAAGAGAGATAATAATTGTTTGAATTATTTTCCTCTAAGTTTCCAACAGCTTCTACACAACTTTCCAGGATTTTTCTGGAAAAAAAAAAAAATCTGTGCTTTTTTCTGTGCCCACTCTCTGTGGCCACAGGAGGGGACTGGGTGTCCTGGATTAAAGTTCCAGTTTTTTTTTAATGAAAGCATCTCCTAGGGCACCTCTACTCTCCTTTCTCTCTCTTGACTTTCTAATCTTTAATCCTTTCATCCTGCTGCATAATTTACAGGAGCCCTCAAGGTCAGCCCAACAAGTCCATGAACTTTTCCCACAAGTGCAGCACAGAAAACAACTTTCTGCCCTTAAATTGAACTGAAACTGGGGGTTTGTACAAATAAATATCAGGGGGAAGAGACCTCAAAACTTCTCTTTTTATTTTTTTTTTTTTAAGCTGAGGTTTTGACAAAATACTGAGCTGAAGGAAATCCCAGCAATTTGGGTGAATCCCAGGTATCTTATAATTAAAACCGAAAGGATTTGACAAGGAATGTTGAATAGCTGCAGAGGGGGAAGGCCGAGGGACTCCTCACCCTTCATCTGCACCAAGAGGAGGAGAGAGAAGGATGGAGAGATGGGAGGGGGGAAAGCAGAAATGGGAACTTCAGCTTTGCCAGCACATTTCAAAATCATTGCTATTTCCCCAAAATCTCCTCCTGATGCACTGCACCGAATTCCAGTGAGTGGAGGAGTGTCAGGGCTGCGGGGAATGTCCCCTCCTGTCCCCTCAAAGCCAAGGGTGGGTTCTGTGCTGGCCTCTGGGTGCTGCTGGAGGCTGCAGCTCAGCACGGAGAGCTCTGCTGCTGGGGGTTTCCATTCCATCAGGAAATCATTTACCACCCCTGCTCTTCTGCCAGGAAGGGGCTGCAGCTCAACCCCCTCCAGGGAAGGAACCGGTGCCTCAGGGTTTCAGTTTTTATATTTTCCTGCAATCCTGCAGTTCTTCAGTGCAGAACTCCAAACTCCACACACAGTGGGAGCTGCTGCTTCCCCATTTGGGGCAGACACAACAATTCCTCTCCAGGCCTGGCAATCAAGGACACCTCACTGCCTCAGGCCTGAGAGATGGAAACAAAAGGGAGTTGGGGCAGCAAACTTGGGGTCAATGACTTCATTGGCTGAAGCTGGAATTGGCAGATTGACCCCAAAATGCAAATGGACCCAACTTATAAAAGTGTGAAACCTGTCACTAACTTGTCCATTTTTGGGTGGGTTTTGTCTGCCCTAAATGTACCTGAAGGCCCTTCAATAAATAAAACTGCTTTTAATGATTTTAATTTTGTCTGGCATCTGCTTTTTGGCAGCCCCAAAAGGCACCGATTTCTGGTGACCACAAAGGGACAGGATCCTCTGGACCCAGCTGCAACCCCCCCTTTGGCACTTTGGGCACCCCCCTGGCCAGGGTGGCAGCAGGGCCAGCTCAGTGTCCCCAGCCCTGGTGGGAAGTGCCACCACGCTGGGGTTTCACACTTACCCTGCTGGGCGTTGAGGAAAATGGTGAAATTCTTGGGGTTTACCCACTGCAGGGTGAAGTTGTCGTTGCTGAGGGTGCTGAAGGTGCAGTTGAGATTTAGATTTTCTCCTTGCTTCAGAGTCACAGAATCACTGGCAGCCCCTGGAAATCCCCCTGCCACGCACCAGGGGTTAAAAAAAGTTGGAAATTGTGACATGAAGCAAAGCAGGGATATTTTGCACAGAGTAATGTGTTAATTTTCCTTTTCTGCAATGATTTTTTAATACTTCTACGTTGCCACTATTGTGGTTGGAGGGATATAAATAAATTATTGTCATTGGACAGGTGATCACAGGTCATCTGTGTGACAAAGCTTTGGGATCTCCACCTGCCAGCACAACCTAATTTAATTATTAAGCCAATTTTAGTTATTAGCCAAGAAAATATTTCATTATTAGCCAATGAAGAACTGAAGCAGACCCATTTAATGCACTCTCAACCTGTATTTAAACACAAACATTGCATTTTCACTTATTCCATGATTATAACTAAATCATATTTAAGGTCCCTTCCAACCCAAACCATTCTCTGATTTTATGTCCCATTTGCTCAGCGTGTCAATGAGCAATGAATGATTCCCCAGCACCTCTAAAAATGAGGCTTTTTTACTCAGAAATGCAACTTCTTTTGAAATAAACCCAAACCTGGCCTGGCAGAGGTTACTAAAAGGAAATTTCACTCTCTCTTCTCCCAGCTCATTTCACAGGTGAGCAGTAAAATGTGTTTTTTCTCTCAGGCAGATAAAACACTTTGTGAAAATACTTGATGACCTGGAATGAAACGCCTTCTGCAGACAAAAACCGTGCCCTGGAGAATTCTAACACTGGTGCCTGGCTTGGAGCTGAGCAAACAGGCAGCAGGAGAGTTTTGTTTTCATTCCTGTTTCGTGTGTTTTGATTTGATTTTCCACGTAGCTGTCGGCTGCCAGTTCCCACTGCACTTTGGGGAAATGAGTATTTCTGGGCTTTGGAGAAGATTTTCACATTCTTAAAAATTTTAAATCGCTCAGACATTATGGTGTTTTTTTTTTTTTAATTTTTATTTTTTTGGTCAGGATTTTTGCTGGAGCTGATTTTTGCTCCTCCAGAGCCAGCCCTGTCTCCCTGCAGGAGTTTCCCACGGGGATTGCGGCTGTGCCTGTCCCTGAGAGGAGCTGTGGCAGGAAGGTGAGAGTTGTTTAGAGGCAGCTGGGGGCTGCGTGTGGCTTTCCACAGCCCCTCGGGGATTTCTGTCCCCGTGATGGTTTCCTGTCACCAGCAGCAGCGTGGGGTCTGGCAGATCACACCTCTGGGGGTGACAGCAGCCAGGCTGAGCAAGAAGAGCTGCGGGTGTTGCTTGCTTTTCCAACGCGGGGCAGAAATGTAATTTCCACGGGAGACCACTGGAAAATGGGTTTTATTCACAGCGTGACTCACAGGGCAGCTCTTCCCAGCAGAGGGGCTCTGCTCTGCAGCCACTGTGGTCACCAAACGTGGCACATGTCCCCACGGCAGCTCCAGGGGGGTGGCTTTTGTCCCATGTGGATCCCGCCTGGAAAAAGCACTCTGCCATCAAGTGACAGGTCCTTGGCAAGAACGGGCAGCAGTCTGGTGCTGGGAATGTCAGGATGCAGCGAGCAGAGTGGTTCTACTCTGGCTGCTATTCTTGGAGCCCCCAGGAAGTGGCTGAGAGCTCCTTGCACTGAGGGCATGGTGCAGAGTTATCTGTGAGACTGGCACCCACAGATATGATTTATGATTCAGAATTTAATGACTTTGGTGCAGTTATCTGTGAGATTGTAGCCCACAATCACACCATTTAATGAGTTCGCTTTGGTGCAGTTATCTGTGAGATTCTAACCTACAATCAACCCCATTTAATGAGTTTGGTGCAGTTATCCAATATTCTAACCCACAATTAGCCCCATTTAATGATTTTGGTGCAGTTATCTGTGAGATTTTAACCCACGATCACCCCATTTAATGAGCCAGTTTTGGTGCAGTTATCTGTGAGATCCTGACCCACAGCCACCCTGCTTAATGAGTTCATTTTGGCACAGAGTTATCCGTGAGCTTGTGAACCACAATCATCCTGTTTAATTAGTTGGTTTTAGTGCTGTTATAGATGAGTAATGCAACGGTGTATTCTGAAAAGGTTTTAATAAACCTTTTAATTTTTTGGAAGTATTATTTCTCACAGGTGCAGTTATCTGTGAGCCTGTAACCCACAAAGCCATCACATTTAATGAGTTTTGATGCAGTTATCTGTGAGATTGTAACCCACAGCCACCCCATTTAATGAGTTGTTTTTGTCCTGCCTGCTGACCTGTGGATGGAGCTGAATTAATTCTGGGAGCCAAGGCAGCAGCTACAAATTCATCCTGCAGAAGTCTGGGGCAAGAGGGAGGAGAGGGGTTGTAGTGAGAATCAGCAAATTGTCAGTGACAGCCCTGCAGTGCTTTCTGCTCCAGTGTCTGTCAGGGAGGGAGGGAGAACATTGCTCCAGGCCCAGGATCATGCATCCATTTCTGCTGCCAAGGTCAGGAGTGAAGCCTGCAGGGATCCTGTCATGGACTGCTGCCCTGCTCCTTCCTCCCTTGGATCCTCTGTTAGATCCTTCCTGGATCCTCTGTTTGGCACAGACAAACTTGAACCTGTCACACTCCTGCCTCCAAACACAAAGGAGCTCTAAATAAGCTGCCTCCTCTATCAGGAGTGAGGAGATGGAGCAGCTAAAGTGCTTTTCTTTTTCAAAGCACTTTGCAAGTTCTCCCTAAGTTGCTGTAACTTCACACAATGCACCAGCAAAGGCACCCTTGGATTTCTGACCCGGGCAATGCAAGCTGTGATCCCCTGACCAAATTTAAGGCAGAATCTTAGGATACCCCGATGCTTTGTCACCTCAAGGTGCCAGGAGTAACTCGGTCTCACTGATCCTGGGTTTAGGACTCAGCGAGCTCACTGACCCCTAAACGGGGTGACAAAATTGGAAATGGGGTGACATTATAGTTTTGTCACCCCGACACCAGCAGCACAGCCTTGAACAGTTTTCCCAGGAGAGCTGGGCTGAGATAACCCCGGGCTTACCTTGCAGCAGGAGCAGCGGCACGGTGAGCAGCGCGCCGGGCACGCTCATGCTGGGCTGGGCTGGGCTCAGCTGGGCTTGGCTGAGCTGAGCTGGGCTTGGCTGAGATGAGCTGAGCTGAGCTGGGCTTGGCTGAGATGAGATGAGATGAGATGAGATGAGATGAGATGAGATGAGATGAGATGAGATGAGATGAGATGAGCTGGGCTTGGCTGAGCTGAGATGAGATGAGATGAGCTGGGCTTGGCTGAGCTGGGCTTGGCTGAGCTGAGATGAGATGAGCTGGGCTTGGTTTAGCTGGGCTTGGCTGAGATGGGCTTAGCTTGGCTGAGCTGGGTTTAGCTGAGCTGAGCTGAGCTGAGCTGGGTTTGGTTGAGCTGAGATGAGCTGAGCTGGGCTCGGCTTCCTCTCTGCGGGGCTGCCGCTGTCCCCGGTCCCTTTTCAGCACATTCTCGGTGACTTCATCCGCTGTCCCTTCCCTCTGCCCCCAGCTCGGTTTCCTCTGTGTGGCTGCCGAGACACGGTGACCTCACGGGTCCCTCCGACAGCCGCGGGGACTCCAAACTCAGCGCGGTCCCTAAAGCGGCTGAGCGCGGGGGATGCGGGCAGGGAGAAGGGAAAAGGGCAGGGAAATGTGGGGTGGGGTCTCCCTGCTGCTGTGATCCCCGGGATGTCATTCCCCAGGTGAGGAAGGCAGCACGCACTTGGTGGCTGTGTGGCAAGGCTGCTTGAAAACCCATTTTAAATCCTTGGATTTAAAAATGTCACTCGTGGATGTGGCAAGGCAGCTTAAAACTCCATTTTAAATCCTTGGATTTAAAAATGTCACTCGTGGATGTGGCAAGGCAGCTTAAAACCCATTTTAAATACCTGGATTTAAAAATGTCACTCGTGGATGTGGCAAGGCAGCTTAAAACCCATTTTAAATGCCTGGATTAAAAAAAAAAAAAAAAGCCATCTGTGGATATGGCAAGGCAGTTTAAAAGCCATTTTAAATGCCTGGATTAAAAAGAAAAACGCCACTTGTGGATGTGGCATGGCAGCTTAAAAAGCATTTTAAATGCCTGGATTAAAAAAATGTCACTCGTGGAAGTGGCAAGACTGCTTGAAAACCCATTTTAAATCCCTGGATTAAAAAAATGTCACTCGTGGAAGTGGCAAGGCTGCTTAAAACCCATTTTAAATGCCTGGATTATAAAAATTACACTTGTGGAAGTGGCAAAGCTGCTTGAAAACCTGTTTTAAATGGCTGGACTAAAAAATGTCACTCGTGGATGTGGCAAGGCTGCTTTAAACCCATTTTAAATGCCTGAATTATAAAAATGACACTCACGGATGTGGCAAGGCTGCCTAAAAACCAATTTAAAATGCCTGGACTAAAAAATGTCACGCATGGATGTGGCAAGGCTGCCTAAAAACCCATTTTAAATGCTTGGACTAAAAAGAAAATGTCACTTTTGTGCCACTGTGGCGTTGCCCGGAGTTTTTTGGCGGGCTGTGCCTGCGGGGATGCTGCAGGAGCAGCAGTGGGAAAAGGGAATTGCTGCCTGTGCTTGTGGCAGGAGGTGCTGGGAGGAGGGATGGGGACACCAGCAGGTGCCAGGGGACAGGATTGGGGTTTCCCCTTGCAGGTCTGATGATTCCAGCCTGGTGTCCCCCCAGGGGTGTGATAACATCACATTTATCCAAGTTTATCTCGTGATTTGTGATTCCCCAAAAAGAATTTTTGGCAGATCCTCTTCCGGCCCTCCTTTGCAACTGCTCAAAATTTGGTGTGGACGACTGTTACAGTCAAAATAAACTGAATTTAATTTGATATTTATTGTTCAAAACCTGTGTGTGCTTGAGTGAAGTGGAGAAAATTAATTATAAACACATGGTGTGTTTTATTCCTGGTTTATTAGGACCTGTTTCCATGAAATCTTCAGGTGCATCACTCAGTGGGTATTGGGTTGATGAAAGCTGTGGCTGTTGTGGTCATCATCATGAATCGATTTTACTAGAAAACAGAGCTGCAAGTCGTGAATTTAAAAGCAGCTGGGTTGAAAGATGATGAAAATGAAAATCCGGATTGAGAAAGATGTGTTGGAAAAGTAAGTTTGGCTTGAAAGTTGTGGCTTCAGTTCCACACATCCAGACCCGAGAGGGAAATAACTCCGGGGAAAATCTGAATTCAGAGGGAAAACCGCATCCCTGAGCCCGGAGAAGCGCAGTCGGGGAATTTTGTGCCATCTGCTGTCAAGTGAGTGAATTTCAGCCTCAGGAAAAAAGGAAAACGCAGCTCAAAATCCCACCATGCTCCGGAGGAAATCTGAAATAGGAAGGGCGCTTGGCATCTTGATTAAATCACCTTCGAGATATTTGCGTCTGGCTTTTCAGAGTTCCGTTTAATGTGAGAAGCAAATTCAAACGCAGTGGTTGTTTTAACAGTTGTTAGCACTCAAAACTGAGATTAAAAACAACCACCCCCCACCCCGCCTGCCCCATCCCCAAAAATAAAAAAATACAGATGTCACAGGTAATTACAGCTTTTTTTTTGGCAATACAATTATTGGGGTTTTTTTTTAAACAGCAAACATTTTGGTTTTTTTCCTCAAATAAATACAATCTGCTCACACTAAATAAAAAATAAAATCCGTAGTAAACAGAATGATACAACAGGTTGAAAATGAAACAAAAGAAAACCGAAAGAAAAAGGAGCTGTTGATAACATCAAGTCTGAAGAGATGTCATGGAGAGAAAGTTCAGAAAATACATTTTAAGGGGAAATAATGAAGGAACTGGCTGAGTATTTTCTGTTGTGGGTTATGAAGAGTCCCTGGGGGATGAATTTGAGGAAGTGGGGAGCAGCAAGAAGTGATTTAGAGCCTTTGCAGCCAACCTGTTAATTAACAGCCACTGTTAATTGCATTTTTGTTCAGTGACACCATCCCAGCACTCTGCTCCCCCATCCCTCCTACCTTGATAATTTCCTCTGTGCCTCTTTAGACAGGAATTAAACCAAACCACAAACCAAAGGCATTGTTTGGGGATAAAAACTCTCAAATTCACTGCAATTTCCCAGCAGCAGAGTCCCCTGGCCTCAGCCAGCTTCTGTCTGAAACTGCTGCCTGGAGTGAAAAGGGAAATACCAATTTTTACTGAAATTATCACGGTCTGGATCCTCATTTTGCATAAACAAGCGAAGCTCTGTTGATCTGGGTGTAATGTCCATTTAATTCTTGTTTTTTTCTAAGCCATACATTGCAAATGATAAAAATTAACTGTTTGTTCTTGGCAGGTTTGCAGCTTTTTTTTTCCCTTAATTGTGGAGAGAAGGAGAAACCTGGGAAGTGCTGTTAGAATAAACTTGGGATCTGATGCAGCTCACAGTGAAGGAAAAGATTTTGGCGAGCTCAAGTTGAATGTTCTGGGACAAACCACTGGAGTGACATTAAATCCACATTAATGAGCATTAAATCCACATTAATGAGCATTAAATCCACATTAACGGGGTGAAAGTGAAGCAGCAATTCTTTTGTCTTCTTAACCTCTCAATTATAAATTTAAAAGGAACAACATTTTTTCTCTTTTTTTCCCACCCAAAAAGCCTTTTCAACACGAGACTGCTTAACACAAAACCCCCAAGAAAACTCAAAATGCTGAAGAAAATAAGATTTTTTCTCCCTGTGATTCTTGACACCTAATTCGAGACGAAGACTACAATTGTCAAAATATTTCCCAAACATCCAAAAATATATATATTTTCTTAAAGAAGAGTATTTTAACATCTACCTCCTCAAGCAGAACACTTTTTTTCTCTATTACTATATCAAAGAGCAGCTGACACCACTCAAATTGTGCATTCAGCTTTTGCTCCCTCTCTGTTTCGTGCTCCTGAAAAACTCCTTTTAATGTCACTCATCTCCAGCAGGATCTGAGCAATAAATATAAGAATACAACAATATTTCCTGCCCCAATTTACACCTTGCTGGCATGAAACAAAAAATCTGGAGAATTCAGACGCCTCAGCAACCAAATTCTTTCTTTTTTTTTTTTGGTGTGATTGTCAAATATTTAATTAATTTTTTTTTTTTTTTTTTTTTTTTGCATGGATGAAAACAAGCCAGAAATGCTCCTCGGAATGTCTGCACACAGCCAAAAATAGTTTAACTGCCAATTAAAAATGAACCTGACAGCGATAAAACCACACAGGAACAGGATTTATTTTTATTCCCTTGCCCTGTCCTAAATTTTCTCCCTGACTTTTCAGTTCCATCCCTGCTGTGATAAAGCACTTACGAGTGGCCTAAGGGGTGTTACACAGTCCTAAAAGTAGGAATAATGGGATATTTGTCCTGTGGATTGTGGGAATAGCTGGGATGTTGGCCAGGCTGGGCTGAGCAGGGACAGGATGGGCAGCTCCAAACTGGGGAGCTCAGCCCCTCCGGGGTTGCTCCAGCCCAGTTGTTTCTCTTTTGGGGTTTCCTTTTTTTGGGGTTTCCTCCTCCCAATTATTTCTCCTTGTTTTGGGGTTTCCTCCATCCCAATTATTTCTCCTTTTTTTGGGGTTTCCTCCTCCCAATTATTTCTCCTTGTTTTGGGGTTTCCTCCATCCCAATTATTTCTCCTTTTTTTGGGGTTTCCTCCTCCCAATTATTTCTCCTTGTTTTGGGGTTTCCTCCATCCCAATTATTTCTCCTTTTTTTGGGGTTTCCTCCTCCCAATTATTTCTCCTTGTTTTGGGGTTTCCTCCATCCCAATTATTTCTCCTTTTTTTGGGGTTTCCTCCTCCCAATTATTTCTCCTTGTTTTGGGGTTTCCTCCATCCCAATTATTTCTCCTTTTTTTGGGGTTTCCTCCTCCCAATTATTTCTCCTTGTTTTGGGGTTTCCTCCATCCCAATCATTTCTCCTTTTTTTGTGGTTTCCTCCACCCCAGTTATTTCTCCTTTTTTTGGGGTTTCCTCCATCCCAATTGTTTCTCCTCTTTTGGGGTTCCTTTCAGCCCAGTTTTTTTCTCCTCTTCAGGGAAGCTGGAATTGCTGTAACAGATATGAAACTCAGAATTTTCCTCTGATCCAGAATTTTCCTGAATACCAACCAATCTCTGCACAACATCCAGCACATTTTGAGCACTCCCATCTCTGCTCAGAGGAGAGGGAGGAATAACCTGGGGCAGCCTGCAGAGGCAACGCTGGGCTCGTTTCCAGCCTGGGGGAAGGAAATAAAACCCTTTTATTTTTTCTGGAAGGTGCTGAGGCTTTGGGGGCTGGGAGAGGAGCAAGCACGAGGTGCTGAAAAAGGTGCAGACACCTTGCAAAAACAGCAGTGAGAAAACACCCCCAGCATCCTGCCTGACACACACAGAGCTCCCTGTCCCTGCAGTGGCAGTGAAAGTGTCACCAGAGCTCCTTCAAGGTGAGGAAACCAACCCCGAGCCGTGCAAGAGCCTCGAGCTGTATTTTAATATTTCCCCCCCACCTCAAATCAGCCCATTTTGTTGTAAATGAGGATTTTGGCAGGGCTGTGGCTGTGTGAGATACGCTTGGAGGGAGCCACAGGACAGATGAGGAGGGTTTTTCCTGCTGGCAGTAAAACACAAGGAAGAAGAAGAGCCATTCTCCAGCGCTGGGAAGGGCTGTCCTTGCTGGGCTGCTCCCTACTCCTGCAGGAGGGTTTCTCTCCAGTTAAAGCCTCCAGTTGGTCCATGGGTGAGAGGGAGGATGGGAGGGTCTGTGAGCTGCCACACACCAGTGTCCCCCAGTTCTTCACAGGAGCAAAAGCCCAGGTAGGGAATCTGTGAGGAGAGAGGTGGGAATTAAGGCAAAAAAAGCAGGGATTGAGCTGTGGAATCCCCAGGGGTGAAGCCCTGCTGTGCCACTCCAGGATTTCACCCTTTTTTCTCTCTTTCCCCCTCCCAAAGTCCATTTTCAGATGGTGATTGACAGACTGTGCACCACTGCCTGTGCAAAACACTGGGAAAAAAAACCCAAAAAACAGATGATGCCCTTGGAATGTGGGTTTAAAAATGCAGTTTTGAATGGAATGTAGTTTTGAGAATGTAATTTTAAGAATGAAGTTTTTAAAAATACAGTTTTGAATGGAATGTAGGTTTAAGAATTCAGTTTTAAAAACGTAATTTTGAACGGAATGTTGTTTTAAATGGAACACAGCTTTAAAATAGGGACCAGCTCAAAGCAAATGTGGTCCCAAACCAGCACAGCTTTGGGGGAAATGTGGACATTCCTGCAGCTCAGGAACATTTTTGTTCCTGTTTTGTTTGAACTTTGGGGGAAATGTGGATGTTCCTGCAGCTCAGGGGTTCCCAGATGAGCCCTGAATACCCCATGGAGCCTCTGCAGAGGGCAAGAAAGGAGAAGAAATAAAAACCTGCTATAATTTCCAGCCTTTTGGTGGTGAACATCTCTTTAGATGAGCAGGGGAGGTGCTGTAGGGCTGAAGTGCCCGGCTGGCTGTGCTGGAGAGATTTGGGGCTCTCTGCACAGCCCCTGGTACCCACAAAGCCCTAAAGAGTCCCTGCAAACCCATCTCAGGAGGGCACCTGACCCCACAAAGCACAAACTGTCCCTGAAAACCCATCTTAGATGGACACCTGACCCCACAAACCCAAAACAGTCCCTGAAACCCATATTAGATGGACACCTGACCCCACAAAGCCAAAACAGTCTCTGCAAACCCATCTCAGGAGGGCACCTGAACCCACAAAGCACAAACTGTCCCTGAAACCCATCTTAGGTGGACACCTGACCCCACAAAGCCTTAAAAGGTCCCTGCAAACCCATCTTAGGTTGACACCTGTCCCCACAAAGCACCAAACTCAGGTGGCCATCTGACCCCACAAAGCACAGACTGTCCCTGCACACCCATCTGAAATGGGCATCTGACCCCACAAAGCCAAAAGAGTCTCTGCAAACCCATCTCAGGTGGGCATCTGACCCCACAAAACCCTAAATTGTCCCTGCAAACCCATATTAGATGGACACCTGACCCCACAAAGCCAAAACAGTCTCTGCAAACCCATCTCAGGAGGGCACCTGACCCCACAAAGCCCTAAAAGGTCCCTGCAAACCCATCTTAAACGGGCACTTGACCCCACAAAACACCAAACTCAGGAGGGCACCTGAACCCACAAAACCCTAAACTGTCCCTGCAAACCCATATTAGATGGACACCTGACCCCACAAAGCACAAACAGTCCCTGCAAACCCATCTTAAATGGGCATCTGACCCCACAAAACACCAAACTGAGGTGGGCATCTGACCCCACAAAGCACAAATAGTCCTTGCAAACCCATTTTAGATGGACACCTGACTTCAAAAAAGCCCTAAAGGGTCCCTGCAAAAGCATCTCAGGAGGGTCCCTGACCCCACACTCTGTCCCAGCCCCTCAAACCCTTCTCCCTCACCCTCCTGACTCCTGAAATGAGTGAAACTCAGCCCAAACCCTGCTGCAGCAGATTTCCAGCTGGTTTTGTCTCTGCAGAGCCAGGGCCCTGCTCCCGCTGGCCGTTACCTTTCGGACCATCTGTACAAAATCCTTGGAGTTCTGGGGTGACAGCCCCTGGAGCTGGCAGGTGCAGGCCTCCAGGGAGGATGCATGAGCCACGATCAGGATGTTGTTTCCTGAGACAAAATGAGAAAGGCAGCCTGAGGAGGGAGCTAAAGCCAGGTTTAGGGGCTGGTGCCCCAGATCAAGCAGCCTTTTAAAACACTTCATCTTACAACAACACATCAAACTGAGAATTGCCACATTTGTATTTTCTGAAAAATCCCTTTGCCAAGATTTTTCTCCTGGGAAGCTGAGAAGCCTCAGAGAAAAAGGAAAACAATTCTGATCTCATTTGCTTCTCCTGTGTTTTGCTGCTTTGGAATGTGGTTGGAGATTGTTTATCCAACAGGTGATTGTTTCATTGAATTGTTTTGACTCGTTGGCCAATCTGTGTTGGAACTCTGGAGAGAGTCACACGTTTTCATTATTATTTTTTTAGCTTTCTGTCTGTATCCTTTTTGTATTCTTTAGTATAGTTTAGTATAGTATTCTTTAGTGTAATATAGACAATAAAATAATAAATTAGCCTTCTGAGAACATGGAGACAGATTAATCATTCCTTCCTGCCACGGGGCACCTTGCAAATACAATACGGAATGAAGGGGAAAATGGGATTTGTTAACATGTTTAGAGCATTTCTCAATTTTCAGGGTAGTGGTTAACTCACTCCTACTTGGTTTAAAAATGCTTTCTGGAAAAAACAAGAATTCCAGTGAGATTTCAGCTGTGTTGGGAAGCAGATGCTTTTTGCCTAGGCAAAAATTAATTCCTGTTACAACAAACACTTTAATTTCACTTGCTGGCTTTGCACAGTGGCAGCTTTGCGTTTCCATTTCCGAGATCCTTCACAAGCAATGCCCCACTGTGCTTTTGATTTTTGTGTGCAAACCATTCATATCAAAGCTTAGAAGGCAGAGACAGGTCAGTGAGAGGAAATCAGTGAAAACACCAGAATTTAGGGATTCTCAGAATGTTTTGGATCAACAACGACAGCTAGGGATTTAAAAAAAAAAATTCAGTATTGTGTTTGGAGAAATGTTCTAAGGTTTTTGGAGGGCAAATGCCCCATTTAGTGCTGGGAACACAAAGCAGAGGGCAAATAATTCATTTATTCCCTTGGGAATAAATTCCTATCACTCCAATGGGTTGGGATCCCTAAAATAATTCTGCTATTTAACTTTCTTGTTGGCCCTTTCTTGTAAGGTGATGTATCTGAAAAATAATTCATTTATTCCCCTGGGAATAAATTCCCATCATTCCAATGGGATGCCTAAAATAATTCTGCTATTTAACTTTCTGGCCCTCTCCTGTAAAAGGAGTTTATCTGGAATTAAAGCTCAGGACTTTCTGATGCTTCTGGGAGAGAGGATGAGAGATCCAGAGGTGGGAATTCATCCCCTCAGAGGGAAAGATTTCAGGAATATTGGAATTGCCATCCCCCCTGCAGCACTCACCTTTGCCTTTACATTCACTGATGATTTCCTTCGTTACTTGGTAGCTTCTGCTGATGTAGGAGTCGTAAGACTCAGAAACCACCAACTTGCTGACGGGAATATGAGGTCTGGGAGGAGAAAAACACAGCCGGGAAATATTGTAAAAATAAAGAATTCTAACTGCAAGGGGTCTGGGAGGAGAAAAACACAGCCCGGAAATTGTACAAATATAGAATTCTAACTAACTGTGAGGTGTGTGCAACCTCCGTGATCAGGAGGAATTGCCAGTGATATGGGAATCTTGGTTTATAATAAGCCAAAATTTATTTTATACATATATTTTTAATAAATAATTATATTTATATAATTTATATAAATATCAAGAATTGGATCTATTATCAATATTTATATATTTCATACATAGTGTATATATTTTCTATACAATCATATGTTTATATAGTTTACATATAAATAGATAAAATAATATCTATTCTATAATATATTTATCTATATATTTAATATTTTATATATATATATATATAAAATATAATTTTCAGGTCACATATATATAGTCTGCATATATTGTATAGAATTTTCAGGTAATATATATTTTTAATATATATGTATAGACATTTATATATATATATATATACACATACATATACCTATGCACATAATATATATACATATATATTTAGATAGATTTTAATACATATATATATGTATCTATATTTTTATATATATACACACATACATATTCTATATATATAATACAGAATTTTCAGGTCATATATATATTTTTATATATGTATATATTTATATATATGATTTCATATATATATACATACATATATACAGACACATACATATAGACATATATATATTTATATATATTTTATATATACAATAATATATATATATTTTAACATAGATATACACACACATATATATTATATATATAAAATATACAATTTTCAGGTAATGTATGTATTTTATATACATATTTTATATATTTATAGATATTATTATATGTATATATACATATAAATATACATACATATACACATACACATAGACATACATATATATATTTATATATATATATATAAATTTAAAAAATATATATTTATATATATAAATATATATATATATATATATTTATATATATTTATATATAATTTTCAGGCCACATTCAGCACAGCAGCCTCGAGCCTGCTCGAGTTTCCTTCGAGAGCCTGAGCAGCTCTTCCCCCCAGCACTGCACTTGCCCCCGGGCAGAGCTGGGTGCGGAGCCCCGCGGAGCCCCCAGCCCCGGTACCTGTAGGTTGTGTCCACGCTGAGCGTGGCTGCGGCCAGGTCCGCGGGCGGGATCCAGGCGGGCAGCGAGCTCCCCGACACCCACTTGGTCCACTCGAACAGGCCCGGCTCCACGCGGATCTTCAGCGTGTTCTCCTGCTGCATGCCTGGAAACAGTGAGAATTCTGAGAGAATGCACCAAAATTGATTTGTAAAGAATTAAAAATTATCCATTATAAAAATGAAAAAAAAAAAATTATTTCATGTGTATTGTCCGCTCGAACAGGCCCGGCTCCACGCGGATCTTCAGCGTGTTCTCCTGCTGCATGCCTGGGAAATGGACAGAATTCTGAGAGAATGCCCTAGAACTGATTTGTAAATAAGTAAAAAAATATTCATTATAAAAATGAAAAATAATTAAATTTATTTCATGTGTATTGTCTGCTCGAACAGGCCCGGCTCCACGCGGATCTTCAGTGTGTTCTCTTGCTGCATGCCTGGGAAACGGACAGAATTCTATGAGAGAATGCCCTAGAATTGATTAAAAGAATTAAAAGAATATTCACTATAAAAACGAAAAATAATTAAATTTATTTCATGTGTATGGTCCGCTGAAACAAGCCTGGCTCCACCTGGATCTCCAGGCTGTTCTCCTGAAAAAGGAGGATGTTTACCTGGAAAAGAAGGAGAGGAGGCCAGATAGCAATGGGAAGGAAGAGAGCAGCTTTAATGCTTCAGGTATTTGTTAATTTGTTGGTTTTCTATAGAAAATTAAGTGTTTGTTTAATGTATGCTCTACAATTGATTTGTAAATAATTAAATAATTATTAATGATAAAATAATGTATGAATGTATGAATGAATGAACGTGTAATGAATGTCAAGCTCTGGTTGGCAGCTGGTGCAATTAGAAAAGGGTTCCTTATGGATTGTGCTGATATAAAATATATTGCTATGGAAATAATGATTGCCAGTCACTTAATATATAATAATAATAATAATAATAATAATAATTGATTTTTGTGAATAAATCCAGGTGAAAGGCACTGCAAGGAGCTGCTTCTTTGGGTCTGGCCAAAAAAGCAGCCAGAAAAAAATTGTAAAGGTCTTGGGTTTAATTTAATTGCATTTGTAAGCCATAAATCAAAGGATTGAACACAACTCAAACCCAGCTGAATTCAGTGGGCTGGAGTCCCTGCTAGCATAAATCTCATTACACAGCTGGGAGAGACCACTGCCAACAGGATGAGAATCACCTCCACTGCCAGGCTTGGTAATGTGTTAATAGCAGGGGTTTTAATATTCCTGCATCAGGGTTTTAATATTCCTGCATCAGGGTTTTAAATATTCCCGTATCAGGGTTTTTGATATTTCTACATCAGGGCTTCAATGTTCCTGTATCAGGGTTTTAATGTTCCTGTATCAGGGTTTTAATATTCCTACTTCAAGGTTTTAATATTCCTACATCTGGGTTTCAATGTTCCTGCATCAGGGTTTTAATATTCCTGTGTCAGGGTTTTAATATTTCTACATCAGGGTTTCAATATTCCTACATCAGGGTTTTTAATGTTCCTACATAAGGGTTTTAATATTCCTGTATCAGGGTTTTAATAGTCATGTATCAGGGTTTTTAATGGTCCTGAATCAGGGTTTTTAATATTCCTGTGTCAGGGTTTTAATATTCCTGCATCAGGGTTTCAATATTCCTGCATCAGGGTTTTTAATATTCCTACATCAGGGTTTCAATATTCCTGTGTCAGGGTTTCAATATTCCTGCATCAGGGTTTTTAATATTCCTACATCAGGGTTTCAATATTCCTACATAAGGGTTTTAATGTTCCTGTATCAGGGTTTTTAATATTCCTGTATCGGGGTTTTTCATTTTCCTGCAGAAGCCAAGGAGAGCAGGGATCTGCTCAGGCTGGCAGTGAGCAGCAGGCACATTTTCCTTCTGGAAAAGGCGTGGCAGCAAGGAGGGGACACTCACGCTGACAGTGGCTGTCACCATGGCAGGCTGACCTAGAAACGCCTTGGGAGAAGAGGGGACACTGAGGAGAGGGACATCTGCCAGCCCCGTGTCACAGGAGCTGCTCAGGGCTTGGGTCATCACAGGAATCGTGTGGAGGTCACACGGTGCCACCACAGCTGCAGCCGTGTCCTTGGACCCTTGAAAGCCATGGCAAGGTGTGTCCCCAGACCCCCTCAGTGCCACCAGCAGCCACACAAATTGTGCCTTGGACCCCTTTAATGCCACACAAAATGTGTCCTTGGACTCTTTTAATGTCACCAGCAAAGTGTATCCTAAGATCCCCCAAATGCCACCAGGAAAGTGTGTCCTTGGAACCTTTTAATGCCACATAAAGTGTGTCCTCAAACCCTTTTAATGCCACACAAATTGTGTCCTTGGACCCCTTTAATGCCACACAAAGTGTGTCCTTGGAGCTTTTTAATGCCACCACTGATGTGTGTCCTCAAAACCCTTTAATGTCACACAAAGTGCGTCCTTGCCACCTTGAATGCCACCAGCGAACTGTGTCCCCTTAATCCCCTGAATGCCACAGCAAAGTGGGTCCTGGGACCCCTTGAATGCCACCAGCAAAGTGTGTCTTCAAATCCCTTTATTGCCACCACCAAAGTGTCCCCTCAGACCCTCAAATGCCACCAGCAAAGTGTCCTTGGACCCATTCATTGCCGCCAGGAAAGTGTGCCCTCAAACCCCTTTAATTCCCCACAAAATGTGTCCTGGAATCCCTTTACTGCCACCAGCAATGTGTCCTGAGACCCCATGAATGCCACCAGCAAAGTGACCCCTTTAATGTCACAAACTGTGTGTCCTTGGACCCCTTTACTGCCATTAGCAAAGTGTGTCCTTGAACCCCTGAATGCCACAGCAAAATGTGTCCTTGGACCTCTTCAAAGCCACCAGCAAAGTGTCCTCAGACCCCTTGAATGCCACCAGGAAAGGGTGTCCAGAGACCCCTCTAATGCCACCAGCAAAGTGTCCTTGGAGCTCTTCAGTGCCACCCAAACTGTGTCCTTGTCCCCTGAATGCCACCAGCAAAGTGTCCTTGGAGCTCTTAATGCCACCAAAGTGTGTCCTTGTCCCTGAGTGCCATCAGCAGTGTCCTTGGAGCTCTTAATGCCACCCTAAGTGTGTCCTGTCCCCCAAATGCCACCAGCAAAGTGTGCTGTGACATTCACAGGGTCCCTTCTGTCCTGTGCAGACTGCAAACCCCGCTGCCATGTGGAGCCTGAGCACCCTCCTGCTGCTGCACTGTGATTTATTTGTGTTCAGAAAAGGCAGGATAATTTTAGCTGCCCCACTTTGGATGTGACCAGCAAGGAGTGCTCGGAAGGATCTGAGTTGGAGGAAATGCTCAGAGCTCGTGTCTTTGAGGGGCTGGGCTCCCTCATCACAGCTCTCAAGACGTGCTCCTGGCAGAGGATTTTGTGTCTGTGCACAAACCAGCAGGCTCAGGAGGCAGGATGGGAGAACACTGGAAGTTATTTGTGACAATAAAAAGCCAGGCAGACTGATAAAAGGATACTGGTGTGGCAAACTGGGTGAAAAAAGCAGATTTTGCAGGAGGTGACAGCCACACTGCTGCATTGCTCCACAATGTGGATAATAACACAATCTTCCCACGGCACCCATCCTTTGATGGCTTTGATTTCCCCCAGTCCTACATCTCTGCTTTGCCTTCTCCTCAGCAGCTGAAGGAGATGAGGTTTCCTTTGGAAGAGGGAAATTGCTGGGGAGGGTGAAGAGACTTTGCAAAGCTCCTTGAAAGATTTAAATCCCGTTAGCTCAGGGCATCCAATCCATTTTTTCCTGCCTTGCACGTTTCCTTTCTCTGATGGGGAGGAAGATAATGGGAGGAAGTGGGAGGAAAATAATGAAGCTTCCTGGGCAAGATCTTCATGGAACCATGGAATCATTTGGGTTAGAAAAACCAAAAACCTCCTGGGCAGAGACACCTTCCACTAAACCAGGTAGCTCCAAACCCATGGAATCATTTGGGATGGAAAAAAACAAAAAACCTCTGGGCAGGAACACTTTCCACAACCCCAGCTTGCTCCAAACCCTGTCCAGCCTGGCCTTGGACACTTCCATGGATGGACAACCTGTGCCACAGTCACAGGAACAATTCCTTCCCAAAATCCCCCCCAAATCCCCCCTCGTCCAGCTGCAAGCTTTGCTTGCTGAGCAGCACTTACCCACGAGCCTGGCCTGGGTGCAGCCCAGCACGGTGATGGGAGCATCTTTTTCGTAATCCCTGAAACCACCACTCCTCTGAGGTAAATTGTGAGGCATATTCAGGTTACTGCGCATGTACCTGCCTGCAGGGAGAGGTGCCAAGCTGCAGTTATTCCCCCAGGCAGAGGCAGGGACATCACACCTGATTTTCCCCTCTCCCACCACCTCAGCTGTGCTGTGCAGGTCCTGCCTAAGCCTGGCTTGTGAGTAGTTTTGGTTTGTTTTTTTTTTTTTTTCCCTTGTAAATCCATCAGGAATCTCACAAAAATTAAATTAAATACCTCTCACCAGCTCAAAATCAGCACAGAATGTTGCTAAGGTTCTAACATTTTTTTTGTAGGACTGATTTCCCCATGGGAAAGTAATTTCTATCCCACAACAAACATTCCACTTTTACAGGAGGTGAGAACACCACAGCACTTCAGTCATAGTGTAGAATGAAGGGAGTTGTTAAATTATCCTTTCACTACAAGGTATTGGTGGTTTTGAATAGAAGAAAGACTTTTAGGACAGATTTCTGATCAACTCTAAGCCAACAGAGCCTGAAGTTATAATTTGTTCACTGGTATGAAACCCAAGCATAATACCGGGTTGAAAACAGCAATTTATGCCCCAAAACCCACTCTGAGCAGTGTTATTTTCACTTAACAAGTCAATGGCTCCATTTCAGGAGAGCCAGCAGTGCAAAATTTTTCTTTGATGGCAGCAAATGTTTTCATGAACACTGACTACCAGCATCACGACTGCATTTTCTCTTTGGTGATGTAACTGCAGGGTGTAATCACTCCTGCAATATTTTCCCAAATATTGCCAAATGGAGTATTTCCTCCCTGGATGACTTGCTGCTGCTGGCTGCACAAAAATCACCATTTTGTGTTAAAACCCACAGCTTCCACCAGGCAGTGGCCACTTCTCCTTCCTCCACTAAATCCTGGGATACCCCCATATAACGATAAAGGTGAATAACAACAGGCAGAACACTTCAAAGTTCCAGCAGCAAAGGCTCCACTTTAACGTCACAGCCTATTTTTTATCCAATTTCCAAGTTACTGTGTTTTATTCAGGTTGGTTAGAATAAAACTAACTAAATTATTAGAATAAATTCTAACTTTCTTGCCACTCAATTCATTGGTTAGAAGGTGTGTACGTGCTATGACTCTCTTTACACAGGTGTTCGCATTTTTTCTTTGTGGATTTCTTTGTTTTCACAGATGCAAGCTGCCTTTTGACAAGAACAGATTGTTATGTAAAGCCATTCTCGTGGTTCTTTTCCATGGGAACTTAACAGGCTACCTGTTAATTCAGCTGAAATAGCAAGGCCTAATTTTATAACGTGGAAGAGTTTTACAGCGACTTCTGTGAGCCAGAGAGGAGTTTGATAAGAGGATCCACATTTACCCCTGAAAGAATTCTCTACCAAAGTTGTTGACACAGAAACCAAGAAAGAAAGAAGGATAAATAACAGAAACCTGCAACTGCCTGTTCCAATGAGCACTTTGTTTGTCTCTCCTGACCAATGAGCAAAGTGTAAACTGCAGAGTTTTGTAAGATTGTATAAAAAGCATCCATGCTGTAATAAAAACAGGTTTGAAACCTTCTGAAAATGGAGTGTTGCTTTGTGTTGTGACCTTCTCAACTACAACATTGTAAGGTGTCACCATGATATTTTATGAAAATCCTTTTGCTAGGATTTTTCTCCTGAGAAGCCTCAGAAAAGAAATGCAAACAGTAACTATCTGATGGCTGTGGAATGTGCTCTGGAGATGGTTTACCAACAGGGGCATCTTTGATTGGTCTCATGTGGATTGTTTTTACTTGATGACCCATCATGGTCCAGCTGCGTCGAGGCTCTGAGCAGTCACAGATTTTTATTATTCATTCTTTTTCCTAGCCTTCTGATGTATTCCTTTCTCTATTCTTTTTAGTACAGCTTTATTATTCATTCTTTTTCCTAGCCTTTTGATGTATTCATATCTCTATTCTTTTTAGTATAGCTTTAGTATAGCATTTTAGTATAATATAACATCATAATATAATAAATCAGCCTTCTAAGAAATACAGAGTCAGATTCATCTCTTCCCTCATCCTGGGGACCTGCAAACCCAACGACAATAAGGCCTTTCTTCTGTAAGGTTTTACCTGTATGCAGCACCCCGGGCTCACCTTTGGCATCGAAGCACTGGGACAGCCAGTACTTCCCAAAAACCACATCCATCCTCTCGCCGTGCCTGCAGACGAACAGGCAGCGCTTCTGAGGGCCCGGCTGGCTGCTTATCCTCAGGGGCTGCAAGGGAATTGATGCCTTCAGTTGGGGCTTTTATATTTTCCAGACTCTGTGCATAACTCTGAGCTTCGGATCAAGTGTCAGCAGCTCTCCTCACAGCTCAGTCACACAGAACAATCCTTTTCCAGCCCCAAAAAGTGCAAACAGGGAATGGAGGAGAGTAACCTGGGAGGATGGAACTGCATCACCTGGAGCTGGAATTGGACAATGAACCCAATATGGAAATGGACTAAAACTTACAAAAATGTGAAAACTCGTGACCAGGAGTCCATCTGGGGTGTAGCCTTGGCCGGGCTCTTGTACAGCCCAAGGTTTGTCCTTTGAAAGCCTTTTAATAAATCCCTGCTTTATTCCTTTAACTCTGCCCAGCCTCTGCTCCAGGCATCACAGTGACGGCAGGTTTGACCTTCAGCAGAGAGGAGAGACACCTGAGCAAGCCACAGGAGCCAGCAGCAGGCTCCTCCTGCTTTGCCCTTGTGCAAACATCCCAGGGAAGGCTGCAGGACTTACTGCTTTTATGGGTTTGTGGGGCTCTTTGGGAATTCATAATACATTTATCTATACATATAATCCTGGTATATTTATGTTTACTATAGGTGGTGTAAAGCTATGGAGGGGGGCACAGGATGGGGTCCTGCCACCCCAGCTGAAGAGGCAGTTTGGGGATGCGGTTGTGTCATTAAAAACTCTGTAACTTGTGCTGCAGGGATTGAAAAGATAAATTTTTAGGGAAAATCCTTTCACTGGAAGCTTGTCCCTAATGATTTCTGGCTGTGGGGTCCCCACCTGCACGTTCTGGCAGATGATGGTGAGGGGCCCAGCATCCCCTGGCCCTTGGTCCTCCTGCTGCCTTCTCTCCAGAGCTCCATCAGCAAAGGCTTGGAGGGATGGGCAAGATGTGGTGTTCAGAATGGAGTAGGACCTGCCAAAAATAGAAAAACATTGTGTTTGGGCATGCTCTTTGTGCTCAGGCTGCTCCCAGGATGTTTCTGTAGCCTCCAGGAGCCGGTGGTAATTACTGTTGTGATGTTATTTCATTATTATTGGGGTTTTAGTGCTGCCCTGAGAGCACCTTGCCAGGTGATGCACACATGTGAGGGGACCAATTCCATCTCCATGGGCTGGTTTCCTTAGAAACAATTCACAGAACAATTCCCAAACTTTGGCCTGGGAGGCTCTCCCCACCCTGGAATATTCTCATGGACATTGCCAGGACCCTCCTGACAACACAGGATGCTCACTAACACCACTGGGGACCTGTCCGTGTCACTGGCTGTGGCTTTGTGCTCCCAAGTTTGGGAATTAATGGCTGCAGGGAGTTTGCACTCACTTTTTTTTAGCACAAGCTGTGGCTTCAGCAGAAACCTGGGGCCTCTCCCTGGGCAGTTTTCAGGGTTTCTGTGCCCAAAATAGCTTTTCCCCCTGGCAGGGACTCAGCCCTGTTGCTCCTGCAGTTTTCAGTGCTGCCTATTCCCCTTCCCACCTGCTTGGGAATTTATCCCCCCAGTGCTTCCAGTTAAGGGCAGCCAAAGGGATTTAACAGAGCCCACACTCCCTGGAGGGCCTTGCCTGATGATGGTCCCTCTGAATAAAGTTCTTATTCCCAGATATTCAAGGACTTTGACCAAAACCCTGGGGACTCAAATGTGACAGGCAATTACAGAAGCTGCCTCGCCCCTCTGCTGACTCAGTTACCTCTGCTTAGTCATTAAAAAAAAAAAAAGGAACATTATCAGGTAATGGATGTGGTCATTTACTTTGACAGAAAGAGTTGCCAGAGCTGGCACTTTTCAGTGCCTTAAATGCAGCAGGAGCTGCTCCCTGATAGCAGCAGCTAGGATAAAATCTCACAGGGGTGTCACAGCTGGTAAAATAGCCCCGAGTGACTCTGCCAGTGGGACAAAAATAGGTCACCTGTGTGAGTTATACGATCTAAAGGAGGAAAAACCCACTATGATGTTGGTCCTGAGCTATTACCTGCTGGAATTAGGGTGCAAGGATGACACTGAGCTACTGGATTATTCCTGAGGTCCCAACAGGGGCTAGCCCTGTTGAGTTGTTCCCCACATTGTCCAAATGCAGGTGGAGCACTGGAGTCAGCACTGATCCATCCTCAGTGACCCCAGAACTTGAATATATCTCTGTGAACACAATCTCAATGTGAACAGAATCTCAATTCTCACTTAGGACCCATCTCTATTTCTGCACAAAGTGAATTTCTCCCAGCTGTCAGCCCTTCCTCCCATTTAATCCCTTTCCTGCCTTGCCCATATGACATTTTTTAAGGACACTGGTCTGGAGAATACCAAGGATTTTTTGGTTACCCCACTTCCCTTTGCCCCCAGGAGCTGCCACACAATTTCTGAGCCTTTCTTTCTCTCTGAGCCTTTCAATAAAGGCCACAAACGCTCCAGCATCTATTTATAGATGGCAGGATTTGCTGGGAATGGTGATGAGGCAGAGGCAAACTCTCAGTGTGCCTGGAGAAGAGCCACCAGACTGTCTCCAGAGCTGCTGGAAAACACAAACTGCTGAGGCTGCTCCAGCTTAGTCATCTCCTAAGGACAGGCCATTGTTTGGAGGCTTTTCCCCAAAAAAAGGCTTTTCCTGGTTCCACCTCTGGATGGTGCCTTGTCTCCCCTGCTCTGGCAGGGATAAATGAGGGGGGGATGAGTGATTTCAGGACCAGCATTCTATTTAATGAATTCCCACCAAAATCAAGAGGCACAACCTTAATTAAAAGATGAAGGCTGCATTCTCACTGAAGCCAACAACAAGCTCCTAAAAATCTTGCTAAATATCCTAAGGAAAGTTGCTGATCCAAAGTCCTTCCCAGCAGGGAATTACGCATGGAAGACGTCTCTTCCCAAATTAACTCTCAAATTTACACCCTGCTGATGGCAGGCCCACCCCAGAGGTGCCTCCATCTGCTGCAGCTCCTTCAGCCTGCGAGTCACAAAGAGCTGCTGCAACATCTCAGCTGCAAAAATCACCTTGTCCTCTCACCCCACGCTAAGGGAGAGCATCTGCTGCTCCTTGGCTGATGAGATGAGGCTCTGTGTGCCAGCTCCTTCCCCTCAGTGCCCTTCTCAGCATCCCTCCTCGCTGCCCCGGGTGAAATCCCAGCTGCTGCTGCTGCCTTAAGTTTGAGCTTTTATATTTTCCGGATTCTGGAAAATATAAAACCCACATATTTTCTGGATTCTGCCTTAGTGTGTGACTTTGAACTTTATATAAAATGTTAGCAAGTTCTCACAGCTCAGTCACACAGAACAATCCTTTTCCTGCCCCAGAACCAAGGACAGCTCTGCAGCTTCAGCCCAAAAAGTGCAAACAGCAGGGAATGGAGGAGAGCAACCTGGGAGGATGGGACTGCATCACCTGGAGCTGGAATTGGACAATGAACCCAACATGGAAATGGACCAAAACTTACAAAAATGTGAAAACTCGTGACCAGGAGTCCATCTGGGGTGTAGCCTTGGCCAGGCTCTTGTACCGCCCAAGGTGTGTCCTTTGAAAGCCTTTTAATAAATCCCTGCTTTATTCCTTTAACTCTGCCCAGCCTCTGCTCCAGGGAGCCTCTCCAGGCATCCCTAAGCCCCTTTTTGCAGCTGTGGAAAGGGGAGGAGCAGCTTGACCTACCCATGGAACACCCAGGTGCCACATTCATCCGCCTTGGTGATGTAGTTTTCGGGCAGCAGCCCCGAGCAGCCAGTGGCCAGGGAAATGCCATAAATCCAGCCCTCACTCGTGCTGGTTTGCTCCACTGGGGACATGAAAATGAAATCCCCTGGGACCAGCTCCAGCTCGTCGTCGTTCTGGGGGGTGTAGGGGTAGATCACTTGCAGAGTCTGGGGGAGAAAAGCACAAAATGTTGTTACTGGAGATCACAGCAAATGGGCCCCCGGCTGGGTAATAATTAGCATAGACTCCAAGTATTACAGAAGGCTGAATAATAATCCTTTTTATGAAACCCATTCCTCTTTTTTATATTCTAGCTTGCTACAGGTGGAATTGATTGGTGTTTTAGTTAAAACACCATCACCACTGGCTAATTAAGAAACCACCCTTTGGTAAACAAATCTCCATAACACATTCCACGTGTGCACAACACCAACAATAATCAGCAAGTGAAGATAAGAATTGTTTCTCATTCTTTCCTCTGACCTTCTTGCAGCCTTTCCCAGAATGATTCCTAGGAAAGTTTTGTTCCTCTCTGTGGCCAGAGAGCTGCTGCCACAAGGCTGGTGAGGGGCTTGGAACACAAGCCCTATGAGGGACTTTTGAAGGAGCTGGGGCTGTTTAGCCTGGAGAAGAGGGGGCTCAGAGGTGACCCCACTGCTCTCTGCAATTCCTGAAGGGAGGTTCTAGACAGGTGGGGTCGGTCTCTCCCACCGGGCAGCACTGACAGAACCAGAGGACACAGTCTCAGCCACGTCAGGGAAGGTATAGGTTGGATATTAAGAAAAAAATTCACCAAAAGAATAATAAATAAAGAATGCTCTTCCCAGGGAGGTGGTGGAATCAGCATCTCTGGATGTGTTTAAAAAAAGACTGGACACGGCACCTGGTGCTATGGTCTGGTTGAGGTGTGAGGGCATGGGCTGGACTCAATGATCTTAGGGATCTCTTCCAACCTCATTATCCTGTGATTCTGTGAAATGGAAGGGGACCTTCAGCAGAGGGGTGATATTTTGGGGTGAGAGGAGCTCCAGGAGTTTACCTCGTGGTTGACGAAGCGAATGTCGCGGGAGAAGATCGCGGCCACCCAGTCACAGCCCAGCTTGACATCGATGCTCTGGGCCAGCTTCTCCAGCGTGGGCAGGTGGCTGCTCTGGAAGTGATAGGCCAGGGTGACGTGGAGCTGCTTCTTGTGGGGCTCCACGTGGACATCTGCAACGGGGAGAGGAGGGCTGAGAACCCCTTGGTGCCAGGTTAGCTCCAACAGAGCTGCACTTGCAAAGATGCTCAAGTGGGACAAGCTGGAGCTCAGCTGGAATCTGGGAGTGTGAGGTTGTTGCTGTTGTATTAGGGACAGCTGAATAAAGCAACACAGACTCCAAGGTCTTCTCAGAAGGCAACAGAAAAGACATCACATTGTTTTTTAGACATCACATTGTTTTATAGACTGTTCTGAGAAAGCTGGACCTGGTGGGTCCTCAGTCAATACCCCTCACCTCTTTGCTAATTAGGAACAACACCCTTGTTGTAAACATCTTGCAAGTAAACAAGTTAAAAACACCAGCTGCAAAGATTAAAGATTATTTTAATTCTTTCTCTGAGCTTTCTCAAAGCTCCCCCAGAGCAATGCTTGGGAAAGTTTATCTGACGTTCTCTCTGACCAGACTGTCAGCATCCACAGGAGGTCTCCAATATTGAAAATATCAGAGATTTGGGGTCTGATTCAGCCAGGGTGCCAGACAAGGCATCCCTGCAAACTGCCAAACAACGGGGGGTGTGACAATCCTTACTGCAGCTCTGGACACGCAGGATCTCCTGCCAAAAGAAAAAAGAGATTTTTCCAGGTAGGAAAATCCAGGAGGTTTTTATGAGCAGCCGAGGATCTTTCCAAAATAAGCAGGTAAAAAAGCATGATTTTTACTCTCCCTCTATCATTCTCTCTGCTGCACTAAATTACAAATCCATGGAATTTGCAGGTTTGTGCAAGTTGATTAAATCTTTTCCTTGGGCATTAGTTGGATTATCAGTTTAGTCACTGAGGGTGAAGTATTTCCAAATTGTGGAAACATAATAATGATTCAGAATGATCCTGCAGAAAAAAAGAATCTGCATCAGGAGATGATTCCAGGTGAAAATATGTGAAATATTTGGGCTCTTCCAGTAGATGAGGAAATCACAGGATACATTGTTTGCACGTAATTTATTCATGCTTATTCAACCAAAAATTGCAATTAGATTTGACTGATTATTCAGTCACAATTGCAGCTATTCAGAGACTTGGCTCCAAGTGCCAGCCAGGGGTAGCTCTGCAAGCTCATCCATCTTTTTTCTGTTGTTGTTTTTCATCAGCAATAAAATATGCTCAAGATCTCTGAAAAAAAAACCCCAGAGACTTTAATGTGATAACCTGACCAAGCTGTGGCTGCAATGCAGCAATTGCCTTCCCCTAAAAAACCCCAATTTGGCCTGAATTGGAGCAGTCTCGGGGCAGAAGATTGTTGGAAGCCACAAATGCTTCTTTATTCTGGGTCAGTGGGGTTTTTTTGGGTAAAAATCACATTTTTGGCTGTGCTGGAGGGAAACACTGATCCCACTCTCAATGGCTGCAGTGTCCTTGGACCCACCCAATGTCTACCTTCCAAAACCTTCTTTTTAAAGATAAAATTCCCTCCTTCTTCTAAAGGGAAAGGAAGTTCTAGGTCAGGTGAAAGCAACACATTCCAGAGGTTCTGGAAAGAACTTTCCAGAGCTTCTGGCTCCCTGCTGTGGGGCAGGGACAGACTCACAGCATCCCTGCATGGCTGTGGGTGCCTGCCCAGCACGGGAACACCCCAGGAATGCAGAATTTGCTGCGTTTTTGATGCATTTAAGCTCCAGGATAAGCCTGGGACTGGAAGGACTAAACCAGTTGTGTTGTGGGCAGGCCAAGCTGAGCTCTGCAGTGATGGAGGGTGGGACTGTGGTGTTGTGCGTGTTGGGACTTCCCAGTTTGGAGGTGACTGGAGGACACTCAGTGAGGTTGTTCAGCAGAGGAGAGGACAAGGTTCTGGTTATTCCCCCTCCAGAAGCAGGAGAGGATCATGGAGCACCTGTGAGCTCTGAGGTTGGAAAGAACACTTGGGGTCTTCTCCCAGAGCCCTCTTCACACCTCAAAAACGCAGTGAAAAAACAACCACGGCCTTGAAATGGCCGGGGAAAGTTCTGTGGTGGTGGCTGGAGGCGGCGAGCGGGCAGGAAACGGCTCAGAGCAGCTCTGTGAAAGGGTAAAGAACCACCAAATGTCAGCTTCCCTTCCAGAAACAGCACTGAAAACTCAGGGTGAGACATCTCCCAGCTGAAAAGCCAAAGCACCCACTGGGGTGTTGAGTTTTCACTTAAAAATCAGGGATTTGCTTTTGAGATTTGCTTCTTGGTGGCATCAGAGCTTTGGGGTTCTGGAAAGGCCCAAACTGTGAGCTTTGGCAGGTGCTTTGCTCCTGCATGGCACCAAAGTTTTGGTTTTTCTGACAATGCCCAAGCTGAGCTCCTTCATGGCTTCAAAGTTTTGGTTTTTCTGACAAACCCCAAATTCATGGCATCCAAGCTTTGGTTTTCTATCAGTGCCCAAGCTGAGCTCTTTTAGCATCCAAACTTTGTTTTTCTGACAATGCCCAGGCTGAGCTACTTCATGACACCAAAGTTTTGGTTTTCTATCAAGGCTTCAAAGTTTTGGTTTTCTGACAATGCCCAAGCTGAGCTTTTTTGGCCTCCGGACTTTGGTTTTCTGACAATGCCCGGGCTCGGCTCCTTCATGACTTCAAAGTTTTGGTTTTCTGACTCTCCAGGCTGGGACCTCATGCCTTCCAAGCTTTGTTTTTCTGACAATGCCCAGGATGGGCTCTCATGGCACCCAAACTTTGTTTTTTCTGACAACGCCCAACCTGGCAGCTGCCAGAGCAGTCACTCACCTGCTTTGGAAGCCGCCTCTGCAGCGAAGTCTGCAGCAAACTTCTTGAGCACCTCAGCACTTTCCTCCTTGACGAAGAGCCCGATGAAGTTGGAGGACGTGTAGAGCTCCAGGGGCAGCGGGGCAGGGAATTTGCATTTCCAGCGCATCACCGTGGCCTGCAGGGCTTCCGTGAGAGCGTCCACCTTGCTGTCCTCACACTGCCAAGGAAGCAGGACAGGCATGGCTCAGGAAAGGAGAGGATGTGGGTGGGTGTCAGTGGCCTACCTTTCCCCTCATGCAGTGAGAAGAAGCACAGGGGCATGGAAAAAAAAGTAAAAAAATCTATGTTTAGAAATCCTTGGCCCCTCCCTTGTCCTCAAAGCAGGATCAGCTATCCCCAAGTAACCTCCCCAAGCTCCCCCCACCCATTCTCACGCTGAGGATCACTGCAGAGGATGAGAATTCAGTCTTCTGCTGCTGCTCTTCCCTGAAAACAGCAGCTTAAAAAAACAATTACCTCCTCCAGCAGCCCAGGCATCGGCAAAATCCCCCCGGCCCCTCCCTAAGCCAGGCTGAAGTCTCCAGGCTGAGCCTGGCAAGGAATGGCTAAAGCAGAGAGGGGAGAGGAGCTGCGCTTTACCATGAAGAACTGGCAGAGGGTGATGTGGGGGAAGATGTTGTGAGCTTTGTTCTTGCCACAGATCTGCTTCGACTGCTGCCAGAACTCGGAGAGCTTCTGCGCCAGGGGCCCGGTGGGGCGCAGGTACAGCACGTACTCCCGGGGCAGGGTGTCATCCAGGAACGGGTCACCCACGTGGGAGAAGAGCCTGGCAGGCAGAAAGAGCTCTTAAATCGAGAGAGAGTCACAGATTTTCTTCCCCCAACAAAACCAGCTCCCCCCATGCTGCCGCTCGTTGTCCCTGCATGGGAAAATGCGGCTCTGGCCGGGCAGGCAGAGCTGCTCTGCCTCACTTGCAGCCCACTAGCACTGCTCAGCAACACAGAAAATTGGGGTTTACTTTCAGGCTGATGCTCTGAAGATCCAAGCCAGGTCACTGCTTCTGCCTTTTCTGCCTTTCAGAGTGCAGAACACAGGGAGGAGAGCACCAGGAGTCACTCCATGTCTCTGAGCAGGCAGTTCCCAGCTGCAGAGTGGGGGGGTTCCTTCTCTCACCTATTCCCCTTCCCACCTGCTTGGGAATTTCTTCCCCCCCAGTGATTCCAGTTAAGGGCAGCCAAAGGAATTTAACAGAGCCCACTCTCCCTGGAGGGCCTTGCCTGATGATGGTCCCTCTGAATAAAGCCCTTATTCCCAGATATTCAAGGACTTTGACCAAAACCCTGGGGACTCAAATGTGACAGGCAATTACAGAAGCTGCCTCGCCCCTCTGCTGACTCAGTTACCTCTGCTTAGTCATTAAAAAAAAAAAAAACAAACCAAAAAACCATTATTATAACACCTTTGCTGCAGATCACAAACCCCTCTCAGACCAGGCTCGTTTCCAGCACTTAAACAGCACCTCACTAACTCTGCAGGTGCTTTTCAGACAACAGCCCTGTTTAAACATGCCACATTCTAATGGCTGAAACCCTAAATCCACAATTTCTGCTACTTTTTAACATTTATTACTTCATACCAACCAGTCGCATGCTGCTTGAACACTCCTTCCACCTGTCGATGCCAGCGCTTTTTGTCTGCAGAGAGAGCAAAATAAAACGAGAATTTCAGTGCTGCTGGGTCTATTGCTGTGTATTTGGGCCCTCATGGGATGCCCTTTCCAATTCTCCAACCCCTGGGGCTTTTTTTTTGGATGTGCCACCTGTCAAATCCCCATAAACTGAAGGACAAAGTCATGCAGCCAGCACAAAACACGAATTATGGACCTCTGGGTTTCCCACTTCCCCACTTTTTCTGGACAGAGAAACACCAGCATTTAATGGTCTCTTTGCTGGCAATTTCAGCATGAAACCCAAAGAATTGGGTCTTAAAATGCAGGAGTTGCAGTGAGGAGGAGAAAAATTCAACAGCCACGAGAGGGCACAAACAGAGATTTTCCAGCTTAGAAAAGTTCCCTTTAGTCCTTGCTGTACTCAAACTGCTCTTCTGCTTCTTTCCCTTCAGGATGTCTCTGAATCCCTTTTCCCTCCAGCTGGGAACACCCAGCTCTCCTCTTCAGCAAGTTTTCTGAGCACACCAGCACAAGTAACAGCTTTAAACGTGGAATTATGTTTTCCAAGTGCTCGACACCAGCATGGGAAAGCAGCTGTGGATCAGCTCAGCCCTGTGGCACCAGGGACAGCCAAAGGGAGGGATTCACCCAGAACCCAAATGGAGCGAGAATTATGAGTGAAGAAGGCAGAAAATGACAGAAATTTTAGGGTCATGAGGCAGAGGCAGGAGCTCAGCTGGGGAGGGTGCAGAATTCCCCATGAATAGGTGATTTCCTAAAGGGAAAGGGAGCAGATCCAGGCTCCAGCCCGTGGGTCTGGGGTCAGGGACCCTCCAGGACTTGTGGCCATGCTTGTGTCACCCCTTCTGTCTGCAGTGCTTTCCAAATGCTCTGACACCCCCAGAGGACATTCCTGAAGGTCACCCCCAGCCCCCAGCCATGTGCTGTTGACTCAGCTGTGCTTCAGCCTCCCCACCCCTTGAACACACACATTTTGGTTCGTTTGGAGGGTAAGAGGAAGGCAGAAAGATAATGCTGATAATGATAAAAAACAAAAAAGAAAAAAAAAAAAATAAAGAGCTGTGTTGCAAATGTGTGGTGATGAATACACTTCCTCCCCAAGCTGTTTTGCTGCCCTTATCTGCCAGCATTCCCTGGAGATCAGCAGTGCTGGGCCAGCACCTGCCCTCTGGGAGGATGGATTTGGTGGATTTGGGGTGGTGAACGCTGTGGGCTGGGGCTCCTGCCTTGCTGACCTTGCTCTGCTCTGGAAAGTGTTCTGTGCAAAGCAGAAAGTGCTTTGCTTTGGAAAGCAGCTCAGGCAAAGGAGATGAAAAATAGGGGGGCACCTCTCTACAAGACAGGGGGCACCTCTCTAAAAGATAAGGGGAATCTCTCTAAAAGATAAGGGGTACCTCTCTAAAAGATAAGGGGGAACTCTCTAAAAGATAAGGGAGGATCTCTCTAAAAGATAGGGGGGACCTCTCTAAAAGATAGGGGGGAACTCTCTAAAAGATAGGGGGAATTCTCTAAAAGATAAGGGGGAACTCTCTAAAAGATAAGGGAGGATCTCTCTAAAAGATAGGGGGGACCTCTCTAAAAGATAGGGGGGAACTCTCTAAAAGATAGGGGGAATTCTCTAAAAGATAAGGGGGAACTCTATAAAAGATGGGGGAATCTATCTAAAAGATAAGGGGAATGTCTCTAAAAGACAGGGGGGACCTCTAAAAGATAAGGGGCACCTCTCTAAAAGATAAGGAGCACCTCTCTAAAAGATAAGGGACACATCCCTAAAATATAAGAGGGACCTCTCTAAAAGATAAGGGGCACCTCTCTAAAAGATAAGGGGCACCTCTCTAAAAGATGGGGGGGAACTCTCTAAAAGACAGGGGGGATCTCTCTAGAAGATAAGGGGGATCTCTCTAAAAGACAAAGGGCACCTCTCTAAAGGATAAGGAGGATCTCTCTAAAAGATAAGGAGGATCTCTCTAAAGGATAAGGGGCACCTCTCTGGGAGCAATGCCTGGGGATTCTTCCTGCCCTGCTTCCATCATTTGCTGTTCTGCCCTTGCTCTCTCCCTCCCCTCCTGCCGGGGCTGTCTTTGCTCTTCACAAGACAGATGTGACTCTGCAGAACTCTCCCCTGAAGTCTGGCAGTGAAGCCTGCCCTCCCAGAGCAGCTCTGGCCCTGCAATGAGCAGTTTCTCCGGGATTTCCTCTGCCCAGAGCTCTGGAGGAGCTGTGCACAGTCCAGGTTCTCCCACCCCCCCTCAGGGACTCTTTTCCTTCATGACCTGATGATTCTTTGGAACAAACCCCACAGAGGAGCTCTGCTGGAATTAACTGCAGCTCCTGCAGAGCTGGGGACCCTGAGGGGAGGCAGAGAACACGAGGCTGGAGCCACACCTTTGTTCACCTGGGATTTCCAGAGCTGCCTCCATCATCCACAGGGACAACCAACCCCCTTGTCAATTTAATTTTCAGTGTGAGGAGGAAATGCTGCATAAAGCAAACAAAGCCAGAGGATATTTTTATCCCAGGACCTGCAAATGAGAGACTTCTTCCTTTTTTTTTTTTTTTTTTGTTTGTTTGTTTGTTTGTTTGTTTGGGTTTTTTTGTTTTTAATTTAGTGCAAGGAATGGTGCTGATGACTGGTAAGTCTCTGCTTCCCTCCCAAAATCCCACCCTAACCAAAACCTGGAGAGGACCCATCCTCCAGCTCCCAGGCCAAAATCAGCTTTTTAGAAGCTGAGTACTCAAAACTGGTCCCAGCCATGCCAAAGTGGCCTGATTTTCACAATTGCTGAGTGCAGTGGGAGCTGGAAAACGCATCCTGCTCCTGAGAAAATCAGGTCACTTAATTAGGTGACAAATTATGGCTTAGGTGCTCACATTTCCTCACGCTGGGTACCAAGTGTTGGCTGGAGCATTGTAGAAAAAAAATAGTGACTCAGATGAACCAGAAAAGAGGAAAAAGGAAGAAAATTACTTATTTTTTTCAGAATTTACTGGATGGTATCACTGAGTAACCGTTTCTGGTGATGCAAAATGGGTTCAGAAGCTTTGTGCAGCACTGCTGGTCCCCTGGGGCACCCAGCTCCTCCATCTCTTGGCTTCTGAGATGAAGTGCAGGGAAATAATTTAAAAGCACCCAGCAACATGGAATAATCATTTCGAACAGACAGCAAGGCACAGGTTCTGTGCAACTGCAGCTCTGGAGAATCTGGGGAAGGGGAAAGAAAACCCTAACAGCAATGACTTCCAAATGCACAGCAGGTATTTTATTCACCAGGAAGAATTAAATTGATTCTTCCACCTCAAAGCCCTGCCCGTGACACTCCTCAGTGTCAAGGCCCAAGGAAAACCTTTCCCCACTCAGTCCCTGGTTAAACAGGGTGAAATATTGCCAGGAAATATCTCAGCTAAACAGCTGGCCCCAAAATATTGCAGCAGAATTGGTGTTGCTGCCCTGGCCCCCACACTGATGTGCAAATTTTAACCCCACTTTGAGGCAGAGCACAGAGCTCTGAGGGATGCAGCACTTCACTCCTTACTGCTGGGGGATTCCTGGCTTCCTGTCACTTCTGGCTGGAAAAAACAAAAAAAACAAAAAAAAAGGGGAATGTCAATGGAGCTGGGAAAAATGTATCAATAAACATAAAATATAATGGCCAAATCCCATTTGCTTCAGAGGAAATGACTGTAATGGGGAATGAGGCATTGACCATAACAAGAACCACACAAAAATCCTCCCTCTGCTGAGAGCTCAGCCTTCTGCTTCTAGTCCAGTTTAAAAAGTGTTGGGCTTTATCCAAGCCCAGCTTAAAAAAGGAGGGTGAACAGACAGTGGGGAAGACACTGCAAACAGCAATACCAAGGCATGGGGGGAAATGTTCTGGGATAAAATATAATGCAGATAAAAATACATCACTAAAAAAGCGTGCAAACTTCAGGGGCTTGACGCCCCAGCAGGGACTTCCATTGGCTCTTCCTTAATTTCACTAATTGTGCCATCAGCAGAGCTCTGCCTGCGAGAGGGACCTGATTTTATTTGGAATTTCTGCTCTCAGAGGCTGCAGAAAAGTCCAGCAGCAGCCTCTGCCTCAAACCCAGCTCCACAGGTACCCAGGGATTTGGGACTGAGCCCTGCAGGGATGCAGGAAAGAGAGAAAATGACCAACTCTGCCCTTGCATCCCACCCCTCAAGCCCCCACAAACTCCTTCCCCCTGAGCAAAACCCCTCAGAGGGATGAATTCATCACTCAGTCTTTGGCCCATCAAATATTTTGCTACGTAAATAAAGATTTTTAAAAAAATATGATGGAAATACTTCTTTTTCTTCATCAGGTCCCACTCACAGGCCTGCCTGAGAGGGTAAAATAGGAATTACAGCCCATAATTTATTCCAAATGAGTTTGAAAGAAGGATGCTGTCAAACAGAGCGTTTTTCCTTAGGAATACAAAATAAGCACCTTGGTTTTTCCTTGTTTGTGCCTATAAAACATATTTATATAAACATATATTCAACTAGCTCTATGTATCTATTTAAAGCTTGGCTTCTTGCATCTCTGTTGGTTTCTGGTAAAAGAATAGAAAGCAAAATGTTGGCTGGCTCCAGGGAATGGGAAAAAATAGGAATTTTCTGGCTGCAGCTGCTGTTTGGAGCAGATCTGTCAGTGCAGGTGCAGGTCAGGAGCCCAATATTTAAATTTCTTTTAAATATTTAAATTTCTTCTTGCCTTAGATGTCAAAGTCATGAGTGGGAGGTCCCAAATTCAAACTCTGCTCTATAACCCACAGTAAAACTGTCAAAAATTCTCCACAAACAGGAAAATTCCCATTATTTTTTTGTGTGTTTTTTTTCCAAATTGCCCATCAAGTGACCTTTACAGATCCCTGAATTTTTGCAGTTTTCATCGATTGTTTATTAACAGTCCAGCAAGGGGAATGAGTCTGTTTTAGGCTTTCACTAAACAACTGCACATTGAGGAACGGCTTTGCAAGGAAAATTTCTGTGCAATTAAT